TGTTGTAAGCAATGCCGATGGCAGAACGCCAAGCGCGCCCCGCCGCCGCTTTTCCCTCCGCTTGTCCCTCCGCCGTTTCTCCCTACGTCGCTTATTTGGCCGTTGATGTGTCCCTGATTTTCTCCCCCGTTTCAGAAAAAATGGTTTTCAAAGTGGATACAGAATGGTTTCATTTTCCCGGAGAATAGCAAATGTTGTCTACAGTTCATGTTCAAAAAGGGCGGGCGAAGCAATAGTGTTGGATTTAGTGATGGCAATGGCAGGTAGAAGTTCCTGACAGACCTTACATAGGGTCCTTTCTCTTTTATCGTTGGTGTTGCAAGGATGCATACTTTTATAGCGGCCCAAAGCCAACAGCAAACCTTTACCAATGCGAGAACACATTCAACTCCGCGAGCAATGACTGTGGATTTGTTTTACTAAGGCCACAGCTTCCAAAGTAACGACGTTCTTATGGTAGTAGTATAAGAATAATTCAAATATCTCTAGGGCAGTCCCCACAGACCTATGATCTCCTTACGGGATACCCTAGCCAATCTAGGATTTATACCTATAGGAAAATAATTATATCGAGGAACCGACGCTGTAGCTGGAATGCGTGTTATGGCTGTGGATTAAGATGTGTGTTACTTTAGGTGGCTTCTCGCGGACTGAAGGCCATCAAAGTACAGCATACGGGTGGGTATAATTATCATCATTCCCGTAGCTATGCAGAGGACGTTACTTCAGTAATGTCTGGCGCTAGCCAGGGTCCACACAGCTTTAATTCCCGTAGCTATGCAGAAGACGTTACTTCAGTAACGTCTGGCGCTAGCCAGGGTCCACACACCTTTAATTTGGTGTTTATTACAGTGGTCCCTTTATAATCCGGCACCATTTGTGCCGCGGAAAATCTGCTGGATTAGGGAGGGTGCTGGATCAACCAATCTGATTTTCTGCTAGAACATGCATGAAGAGGACATTTTGGCTAAAGAAAATTGTGCTGGTTTATCGAGGGTGCTGGATTAGAGAGGGACGACTGTATTATGATGTTGCTATGTCCATGTATGCAGGCGAGGCGAGACTCACCGCCGAGATCCCCCAGCGCGACAGGCTCGGCTGCCGACCTGTCCGCCCGTCAACTGCATACATGGACATTGCAACATCATAATAATAAACAACATACATGTACTTTCCATTGGCATCAGTATTCCACGTAAGATTTTTCGTCGCCTGTGTGGTGTGTTTCTCCACCAATGAGCGCGTACTATGATTATTTTATCGCTGTTCTCACACTTTACCATTTTAGCAGCTTGCGTATGCCATTGATATAATTGTGTGGAAAGCGCGCACTTGCGCCATTTCTGGTGTATAAGAATGATCATTCCTCAATTATCATCATTATCATCCTCTACTGATGAGCTCCGACAGGGAGCGAAACAGCTGTCTAGAGGCGTGGAGCAATATTATCTCGCAACGGAAGTGTCCTTGCTGGTGTCTGTATGGTTCGGCTGAAGAGCGCGTGGTTGTGATGAGTTGGGAATGCAATGAATTGAAAATATGGCCGAAAGCTCTGTCACAATATTTAGTTCTGAAATTATTATTATTATTATTTGTAAGAAAGGGTTTGCTCCCCACACTGGAGCTCGCGCTATTCCGCCGACTTTACTTGACACTTGACTGACTCACGACAGCCATCCAGAGCACACGAGAAGTCCATCGAACCTTCGACTCGGCAAACCTGCAAGAAAGCACCACTCCCTGCTCAATACACAGTGTTTCGGGGAATTCACCCCTCATCAGTTGAGCTTGAGTCGGCTGAGGAAGATTGTGCCTGAAGAGCACCACTTATATAGTGCTCTCCAGGCACAAACATCACCAGGGACACAAACTTACAGAGACGCTCCGTTTCCAGCGCGACAAACACCTCTTGAACACCAGATAGCAGCGTGAGTCATTGTCGCTACTGGACGGTGAGACAGACGTCGAGGACCCTCGGTCATTCGCAACGCTGTCACCTCCAAACCAACTAGTCCCAAGACCAACTGGGGAAAACAGGAGGTGTGGCTTATACTCCGGTCCGGCTCCTGTGCTGCTCATACTTATTACCAAGAGTTTATGGACTCTTGTTATTACATATCACCAAGAGTACCCAATGCTGTAGACAGCAAGCTGTTTCGGCCATAAAGGCCTCATCAGTACAGCTACGAGCTAAATAGGCCGAGTTACCAGCCATGGTGCAAAGGAGGCACCACAGACATTAAGGTAGCTCGTCGCTCTAGCGCCAGAGTGCTCAAACTACCAAGAGTAGATAAACAAGAGTGTGAAACTCCGGATCTCTCCTGCACAATCTGCAGATACCCCCGCCCACGGCGGAATTTTTTGTTGACATCACCTTTTTCAGAGAAACGCTGACTTTGCCGCAGAGCAGTGTGAGAGCACGTACTGGGCACCGACCTTGTAGTGTAAAGCCCGGCCAAGTGCACGAGGAAAACCTCTCCAAAAGGCTCTCAGCGCGTGCATCGTCGAAAAGATTACGTCAACAAAATTCCGCCGTGGGCCAACCCATCCGCTAGTTGCACAATCTACTCTGATATCACTTGTGCGGATTTAAGGTAATTGAGGACACGTCGACACTTCATGAGGTAGCCTGGTTTGCATTGTTGTTGTTGTTGTTGTTGTTGTTGATGTGCAAGGAGAATGTACCAGTTCACACACATATGAATTGGTGTGAACGGGCTGAATTTTGCCTTTTCACACGTGTGCGACTCCCGGTTTATCCAGATATTGGTCCAAAAGGATCCCAACATACTTGGAACGTAGGAAAAAGTCAACATGAAATGAGGGTTAATTATGATAAAAAAGGAGAAGGAAAAATTGTCACGAGTTATGACTAACTTTCCACCAACGTAACGAGATCATTCTTAGGGTATCCCGTAAGAAGACCTTGGGTCTGTGGGGACTGCCCTATTATAATATGAATAAATAATAACGAGAGAGCATTGGAAGCTCAGGGCCCTAAGCTATGCTTTTTTGCCTTGATGACCTAGACAAAAAAAGCATAGGGATGTTATAAATTCTTATAAGTTTCTACTTTTTGGTTTTAGACATAACCTGGGATTCAAACCCGCACTATCGCCCTGCATGCATCCCCCGATACACTTCGCATACATACTAATTCTCTGCCAACCGGTTTATGGTTGTAGTCAGGAGCACTACGCGTCCTCGCCTTGTAACATGCTGTCAAAATCGAAAAACATACTAATTCTTCCAAGTTGCTTCACGTTATGATCTTGTATTTGAAAGCCCTATTTGAATATGCATTGTGGCCAGTCGTCTTTGAATGTACGGTACGGTACTGCGCTTGCGTAGTTGGTCTTACTGCGATACGTTCTAACAATAATGAGATGCCTTTTGTCGGCTCTTCTGCCTGGATTTCGTTGACAGATGCGTTAAGCCCATGGATCCTTCCATGAGTGGCATGCGAACTGTAACTATTATTATTATTATTACGGTACGGGACAGGTACGGGACAGGTACGGGACAGGTACGGGACAGGAACGGGACAGGTACGGTCGAGGGTAATACGTGACCGTCTACCGCCTAGATGACGGCAAGAAAAGAAAAGGGATGTTATAAAACTTTCAATTCTCCTATTTTTTCAGGCTTTCCCCGGGATTCGAACCCGCACTATCGCCCCACGTGCATTCCCCCATCGCATTCATACTCATTCTTCCAAGATGCTTCACGTTATGATTTGAAAGCCCTTTTTGAATATTGCGGCCAGCTGTATGTGGCCAGCTGTGTTTGATGGTACGGTACGGCAGGCAGGCATAGTGGGATGGTCTAAGACCATGATTGAGAAACAGAGGGTACCAGGTTCAAGCCCAGCTTGGAAGCGGAAGGATTTTTTCCAGCCGTGCTGCGACCCACAGTTAATTGGGAACTCGTGGCCTGGCACGAGGAAAACATGGATGCAGTGAATGGGACTTTCGGTCTTTGACCACTTGCTGGTGAGCTGATCTACTCACCTCCCACCGCTTTAGGAGCTGCATCTGCGCCTTGATCCTTGAAGGGTGGTGGCGTTCCTGCGGATGCGGAAAGCCCGGCTTCCAGCCGAGTCTGACGCGAACCGTGAAATTTTTAATTACGGTGCGGGACAGATACGGGATAGCGCCAGGCGTGACACAAACACACAAACACACAAAAAAACAAACAAACACCAAATTAAAGCTGTGCGGGCCCTGGCTAGCGCCAGACGTTACTGAAGTAACGTCTTCTACATAGCTACGGGAATAATAATAATAATTATACAGTCAGCGTACAGTCAGCGAGTGCGACAAAATGGCACAAAACTGACAAGGAGTACTGAGACATTCAGCGACCTGATACCTAGCGTGTTCTGATAAATTTTCGGACATTACGTCAAGCAGAACGAGCCTCGTCTAACACTTTTTAAAGACACACTAGGGTATGTGGAAGACATGGCAATAGGCGGAGCTGGAAGTTGCAGATGTTAATCCTGGCCGTGGGAGAGTAGGATAGTGATCAGCAAAGAAATCACAGATAGGGTCGAGAACATCAACAACAAATCTTTGATTACCGTATTTATGTGGGCAGTGATACAATAATCCCATGAAAGATCACCGAAATGGTTACTACAATGGTGTATCATGATATTTTCCTGCATTCCCAGGCCACTGAATAGTCACAGTAAGTGAAACCACATGCGCCGGAAAAGAGAAGGTAATAGAGTATCATCAAGAGTACAATGGTTAAAAATAAACAGTAAAAGGACTAAAGCCATCATCAGAAAACAGTAATGAGTCTTTTGGACAGCCTGGTACCTCTCTGTTTTACAGATTACAATGGTTGTGTAGTTTTGGTTTCATATAGTTTTCGTCATGTGTACGGGCAGGTTCGTGTCGTATTTCTCATTTGTAACATGTATCTATAGAAGTATAGGAGAGAGGTATAAAGATGGATTTTTGGCAGCGTGATTGTTGTTCAGCTCAGTTGATTTCGGTGACCGCGCAAGTGTCGGAAGCCTTCCTCAGCAAAGAACCTTCCTTGAAAATCTTTTGTGATCCTTCAAAATGGATCGAAGGTGGCCACGTCCTCTTCCCACTAGTCAGTTTGGTGATGTCGTAGAGTTCGACGAGGTCAGTAATGTCTTGGCTCGTCAGGTGTCCTTCGGTACCGTGGCACTAGGTGCGGGGAAGTATGGAGAAGTCCGCACTGTGGAAATGCCAACAGCAGGAGATGTAAGTCGTACACACATCTACACAGCGAGTTAGAGATTGACAGGAGGGGGAGGGTAAGGGAGATTTTACATAATTGGAGCCCAACAAAATCAGACCATTCCAGTGGCCTGATTATCTTGAATGTCCTGTGCGAATGCAACGAAACGTCTACTGGATTCTGTATTTATGATCCACATTGCTTGCATATCAGGCTTGGAGACGACTTTGCTGTGTTACCGCGCCTGATTTGTGGTGGCCGGATACTGGAGATTGGTACCCTGACGTAGCTCTCGCCAAGAGCTTTCCAATGAGCCCTTGATTGTGAAAATCAAGTGAAGGACACCAAAGTTATGACATGGAAAAGTTGAAAATTGTACTGACATTTTGTAATTCTGCTGCATACTGTGCTAGTAATCCGTCCATAAAGGGTTAGTAATTATAACAAGTAGAAAAGTTTTAGATGATATTGTGCTACTTATGCTTTTCTTATCATTTTGTTTCCACAGATGGTAGCCAAGACAATTTTCTTCCAAGCCCGGAACGGCCTGAAGTACAGGGAGCAGGTGTGCCGGGAGGCCAGAGTCTGCTTGAAGCTGCAACATCCCAACATCGTTGCATGCTTCGGTGTCCTGCAGACCCAGCTCTGGCCTGCAATATTCTACGAGCGAGTACATGGTATCACCCTCGCCAAAGTAAAGAGCAATGCCTTTGACGCTGGAACGTTTGTGGAGGAAGCCACGCTGACGGGTACGATCCGCAAGGTACTGGAGGCTGTCCATTACCTGAAGACAGCCAACATTGTTCACGGGTAAGTTTTTAATGTTGGTCTTAAGATACGTATATCTCTAGCTAGAATACTCTCCTCATATCCGTTATGTCGGCGTGTGTGACCCGCCTCGAAAAATGGATTCCCAATCAATGGCAGTTCTCAATAAGTGCAATCTGAGGATTTATGAATTTATTTTTCTTTTCTTTTCCTCATACAGAGACCTGCAGGAACACAACGTGATGGTTACCCCTGATGGAGGGGTTAAACTAATCGATTTCGGCCTGGCGGAGGAATTGATATTGGGAAAAGCCGAAGTCATCCGCACCAAGATGTATGCTCATCCACCAGAGCTCAACGTGGTGCACTTCGGCGGCATTGACAGCAAGACCGATGTCTTTTTCGTCGGCGGCATGCTGTACAGAGTAGCCGTACAGCGCCGACCCTATGGCGACTTTCTTCTTGAGGATGCAACATCCCAAAACACCCTCGTGTTGAGAGGTGTTAACAAGGAATTTGTTCGGTACCGTCAGCTGTCCAAAGAGCTGAAGTCATTCATTGACGACCTCATGAGTTACATGCCAGATGATCGACCCGACGCAGCACAAGCTCTTGAACATCCTTGGCTGACTGGCGCGCAAGATTATCAGCCGCCACAGCTACTCCGCTTCGAGCAAGTGGCAAGTGCTCCTCACGATGAACGGCAACTAGATGAGGAAATTATTAACAGGATGGCCACAGAGCTGAATATCAGTAGAAACGAGCTGGTCCAGCAAATCCTCCAGTAAGTATTTTCGGAATCTATTCATTCGCTTATGACTTATACGCGTCTTACTTCCCCAGTAAGAAAAGTGTATGGTTGGTGACCATGCGTCGCAACCTTGTGAACGACGGACATGTAGTATTTTAGTTGCAGCGGGGTTGAAGCTGGAACTCCTAACGTTGTTGGTCAATTCTTGAATCTCCAATACCGCACAAAAAACACTCCATATCCACAAACATCTAAAACTGTGGTTTGATTTCCCTAAAATTTAATGTGATTGTAAGATTCTCTCAATAAATCCTCTTTTATGCTGACTAAGGCTGGTATTGTTGTGTATTCTAATGTGCAGATCCGCAAACAACTGGAGGACTATTGCATACAAGGCCAATGTGCTGGCGAAGTCTCGCTCCCCTCCCAGTCCTCCCACTCCTCCTTCAGCACCAGAGGAGGCAGGTGTGACAGAGGACACACCACTTGTGTCTGTGCCTGCTTCTGCTGCAACAACGGCTGTAGTTGGCGAAGCAGAAGACAGTGCGTCAAGCGTCCCCCGCCGCAGCTTCTCCATCCGCTGCTTATTGTGCTGTTGATTCACTGCTTTCTCAATTGTTTCTAATAAAAAATTATTTTCAAAGTGGATACTAATGGTTGCTTGTTTTTGGAGAATAGTAAATGTTGTGCACAGCAGGGAGCCCTACACATACCGGGAGGTGACACGGGCACAGAAACTGTGCATGACGTTTGACTCATTCAAAAAAAAAAAAAGTAGCTGAGAGTTCTCATCACACATCAGTACAGATATTGATGAAAAGAGTTAATCGATGCTGAATATCGTTTGTGAGAGTCATCTTATCATATGCTGGCTTGCTGTGACACTTCAATATGGCCTTGAGTGGTCATTGACGCAAGTAGGATGGCGGCCAATGTTTCCCAGGCTCAGCTTTTGGGTAAAAGGTAAGAGTGTTTTGTGATGTCAAAATTTAGTGAAAATGACGATCGAATGAACATGTTTCCTGAAGTCTGACCAAGTTTGAACACTCTGAACGAGTATTTCCGGCGAAGATAAAGGCTGTCGCCACACACTAGCACAGCGATCTAACTAAACTCTGCTGAACGTCGTGGTGAAATCAGAGCCTAAAAACATTTTCAAGTTCGTACTTTTGTATAGCTGTAACAAGTGGATAGACTCTTTGGATTCGCTGTATCGTGCAAATATAAGTTAACCTAATTACTATAAGTCGGAAACAGGGACAATTCGTGTAGTTATTGCCTGTTTTCAGATTTTTTTGTGAATGCAACATTTGCACATATTGAAAATACATCATGTTAGCAAGCATATATTTCCACTCGGCAAAGACGTGGATTTATGAACTGTTGATTAATAGCATCTACATAACTTCTCGTTTTATCCCTAAAAAAATGGAAACGTTAGGAGGCAATTTTGATTGCCAAATTCATCTTCAAATGTCACTATTTTTGGGACGAGTAAAGCACCGCGGTTTTCAGTACAACTATACGAAACGAATGTATAGCTGCAGTGTGCCGAGCACCATACCTGGGTACTCAAACACCAAAGTTCTGTCTGTTCTCTTTCTGTTTATATGTCAATATAGGACCTCACGTGGTGATGCTGATCCACCTTTGAAGCGAATTTTAAGAGAACATGCAATGTTATCGCATTAGCTGATTGTCAAGTAAGTGGTGGTGTTAGTGGACATTATAGCCTAACTTGTAGTTCCTTGATCCTTTTTCTTTACTATAAATATTTCATTTGTAAAGGGAAAATGACCTGTAAGTTACTAGTTAGGACGAACAGACGAACAGTCCACCATTTATTTCATTTGCTTGGCATTTAGATGTTTGGAGCTTAAAGAAAGGGTAGAGCAGGATTTTGGACTTTAACTTTTAACAAAAGGCTGTGAAAGGCAAAAGTAGAAATTTTGAGTGTCCATTAGATGAATACAGTATGTTTGTTTTTGGAAAACTTAAAAGTGTACCAAAAACGAATCGAAAATGACAATATCGACGCTGGAAAAGGAAGGCCTCCTTAGGCCTTAGCAAATAATTTACAATGCAAGCATGATGGAGGCGGTGCAGATAACAGGAAAAACTTGTAATCTATTCGAATCACTATTCATAAGGTTGAGGAAATATGAATGTTCAGTGGGAAAAATACTATAATTATGATACGATGTGATATGATGAAGCCCCCAGGGCAAAAAATTGGGGAGATATTTACGACGATTGCAGCATAACACCGTGGTGGTGAAGACGGAGATTGAGACATAAAATAAATACTACTTATCTGGTTCATTACTTTGGCTCGCAGTTCTCCTTTTCCAAGGAGGTTAGGTGGGAGGAAAGTCTGCTGATCAGGTCAGCTTTCGTCCCTCCCACGGGCAAACCATTACTGCGCAATGCGTCTTTAAGTTGCTTCACAGTACCAGTTGTGAGGATGCTGGCAGAGTCAGGATTGGCTGTCTTGCTGGCAGCATTGCTCCCTGGCTTGACACTGGCACGTAGGGCCTGGGAGGATTTCCTTGGGGCCAAGTTGAATCTCCTCAGCATCTGCTTCTGTTTGCTTTTGACAAACATATCGATGATCGCCACCAACATTGATTTGTCATCAGTGTTGGTGAGCCTGTGGAACTGCTTGCAGATGCCTTGATCTGCAAGAAGGTTTGCTTTCAGGAGAGGCAGTGCAGTGCTGCGCTCTTTAGCCAGAAGAGCATGGAAACTCGACTCTGTTAACTCGTGCATTTGCTGGAACATTGCTAATGCATCTGACTTCAGCTTGAAGACGTGCTTCCCTTGGTTTTGCTTCTCTTCTGTGTGGTTGCATGCCTGCAGGAGTGGATCGTCTTCTATGTCATCAAACGATTCGAATACATCTGCTGCCAACACCGCTGACAAGCTTCTGGATGTTTCATCATTGACCGTCACAACTTCAGCAACCGCCACATCGTGTGTTACGCTTTCTTCGACCACCTCTTCTACCTCTGCAACATCCTCTTCTACAGACTCGGCTGGCTGCCCATTTCCGTGAAGAACTGAATCATCCTCACTCGTAAGTAGTTCTATCTTAGACACCCGGCAGCCCTGCGCCAGACGCACATCCACTCCAAATTGACTGAGTACCCGCAAGTTTTCTTGTTGTCCTTGCTTGTGCCATATCCTTTTCCGCACAGCTACAATGCACCATCCAGCATGGTATGCTATGGCTGCAGCCTCCGGTGCATCATGTCGTTGTGGCCGTTCTTTTGTGGTGATTTGCAGGGTTCCGGATTTCTGCAACTCATGCCATATTGTTCGGACTAGCTCGTGGAATAGGGAAGATGACAATCGATCGGTAACTGCAGCATTCAAAGCAGAGAAGAATGGATAATTAGCCAAGTGCCGCATACTCTTGAAATTATAAATTACATAATAATATATTGTCAACTCTGCACAACTGCTGCATGTTCTGCTGGTGCCGTACCTTTGTTGTTGCCGATGTGTCTGTTAATTAAAATTCCGCATACTCTTGAAATTATAAATTAAATATATATTGTCAACTCTGCACAACTGTTGCATGTTCCGCTGGTGCCGTAGCTTTGTTGTTGGCGATGTGTCTGTTAATTAATTCTACATGTTAGTGTGCAGTCAACCAATCTAGCTCTAGTATTAAATGAAGTGAATGCAGTTTCAATTTTATGCATTTGTGTTTGCTGTACGGCAATATCTAACTTATGCTTCCTGCTGCAATCTATTTCACGACACGTTTCAGTTGTAATTTGCTTATTTCCTTTCCACTCACGTGCTTGAAATATGTCGGCAACTACAATGTTTCGATCCAAGACACCGGTACGCGGTATGCTATAATAATACTTGTTTTTTCATTGTCTAGCGAATTTATTTCCTCTCTCTAGAAAATGAGGGCTACTGATGAGCTCCAGCCGAGAGCACCATCAATGATAATATTATTATAATGTACATGATTGTAGGATGTATAATGATGACTAATTACTTTCATTATACGAGTAGCAAGATATTGTTCGTGTGTAATTCTTACCTTTTTTATCATCTGGAAAATTCGCATCCTCTCTGCTGCAAATAACCAATTTGCAAAATCTAGTAAACGATGGCTGCTTGTACATGGCTCTCAAGTGCTGACGTATTTCTGTTTGGGACCTTCCAAAGCAGTTGTTCAAGTCACTGGAGAACTCAATCAGGAATGACTGAGTTCCCCAGTACGTATGATCCCCGCCCTGCATGCATTTCTCAAGCAATGTGCAAATTGCACGCGCGGTGGTCGACTCCTGTGGCTGGTGGGCGGCTAGAACTTCGTCCTCAGCAAGACCTGCATCCAAAATTCCGCAACATTGAATGGCGCTGCGTCGATATCATCCATTATCAACACAAACTCATTCAACAAATGAAAAACTATCATCACCAACCTCGAATCCACTTCACAAAGCGCCCTTTGTCCAAACAAAAGTCTTCCTTGCACACAAGAATGTCTTCGGCCACAACAAGGGGGCTAGGAAGATTCGACATTTCATCTCCCAGGACAGATCAAAGATGTATCAAAGATATAGCACTTAGTACAATAATTCAATCCAATCGATCGATTCAAAATTTCAAATGAATACTGCACTAAAAATTCATGAAACCATCCTTGTTTTAGCCTTGTTTGCGGTTTCAAAAAAGTTCGATGGTTTTTTGAAAAACCACAGGGTTCACCCGTGAGGCAACCATCAAACAGGAGTTATGGTTCCGTGTCACCTCCCGGTATGTGTAGGGCTCCCTGGTGCACAGTAAAAATAGCGGGGGAGCAATCGGATTTAGTGATATCGATGGCCGGTAGAATTTACTGACAAACCTCACAGACCAATTGAGTGACTTGTTGAAAAGCGACATCAAGGAGTGGCACCAGAATGGACGTCAGTTAGAAAACAACTCTTACCTGTACACTAGTTGTTACAATGATGGCAATGCTATATCATGATGAGGCCTAATTACCGGTACGGCCCAAAGCCATGATTAACGTTATAGCAAACCTCTACGAAAGAGGTATAAAGATCGATTTTTGGCAACGTGATTGCTGTTCAGCTCAGTTAATTTCGGTGACCGCGCAAGTGTCGGAAGCCTTCCTCAGCAAAGAACCTTCCTTGAAAATCTTTTGTTATCCTTGAAAATGGATCGTAGGTGGCCACGTCCTCTTCCCACTAGTCAGTTTGGTGATGTTGTAGAGTTCGACGAGGTCAGTAATGTCTTGGCTCGTCAGGTGTCGTTCGGTACCGTGGCACTAGGTGCGGGGAAGTATGGAGAAGTCCGCACTGTGGAAATGCCAACAGCAGGAGATGTAAGTCGTACACACATCTACACAGCGAGTTAGAGATTGACGGGAGGGGGAGAGTGAGGGAGATTTTACACAATTGGAGCCCAACAAAATCAGACCATTCCAGTGGCCTGATGATCTTGAATGTCCTGTGCGAATGCAACGAAAAGTCTACTGGATTCTGTATTTATGATCCTTAATAATTATAACATGTAGAAAAGTTTTAGATGATATTATGCTACTTATGCGTTTCTTATAATTTTGTTTCCACAGATGGTAGCCAAGACAATTTTCTTCCAAGCACGGAACGGCCTGACGTACAGGGAGCAGGTGTGCCGGGAGGCCAGAGTCTGCTTGAAGCTGCGACATCCCAACATCGTTGCATGCTTCGGTGTCCTGCAGACCCAGCTCTGGCCTGCAATATTCTACGAGCGAATACATGGTATCACCATCGCCAAAGTAAAGAGCAATGCCTTTGACGCTGGAACGTTTGTGGAGGAAGCCACACTGACGGGTACGATCCGCCAGGTACTGGAGGCTGTCCATTACCTGAAGGCAGCCAACATTGTTCACGGGTAAGTTTTTAATGTTGGTCTCAAGCTATGTATATCTCTAGCTAGAATACTCTCCTCATATCCGTTATGTCGGCGTGTGTGACCCGCCTCGAAAAATGGATTCCCAATCAATGGCAGTTCTCAATAAGTGCAATCTGAGGATTTATGAATTTATTTTTCTTTTCTTTTCCTCATACAGAGACCTGCAGGAACACAATGTCATGGTTACCCCGGATGGAGGGGTTAAACTAATCGATTTCGGCCTGGCGGAGGAATTGATATTGGGAAAAGCCGAAGTCATCCGCACCAAGATGTATGCTCATCCACCAGAGCTCAACGTGGTGCACTTCGGCGGCATTGATAGCAAAACCGATGTCTTTTTCGTCGGCGGCATGCTGTACAGAGTAGCCGTACAGCGCCGACCCTATGGCGACTTTCTTCTTGAGGATGCAACAACACAAAACACCCTCGTGTTGAGAGGTGTTAACAAGGAATTTGTTCGGTACCGTCAGCTGTCCAAAGAGCTGAAGTCATTCATTGACGACCTCATGAGTTACATGCCAGATGATCGACCCGACGCAGCACAAGCTCTTGAACATCCTTGGCTGACTGGCGCGCAAGATTATCAGCCGCCACAGCTACTCCGCTTCGAGCAAGTGGCAAATGCTCCTCACGATGAACGGCAACTAGATGAGGAAATTATTAACAGGATGGCCACAGAGCTGAATATCAGTAACAACGAGCTGGTCCAGCAAATCCTCCAGTAAGTATTTTCCGCATCGATGCATTCACTTATGACTTATGCGCGTCTTACTTCTCCAGTAAGAAAAGTGTATGGTTGGTGACCATGCGTCGCAACCTTGTGAACGACGGACATGTAGTCTGTATTTAGTTGCAGCGGGGTTGAAGCTGAAACTCCTTACGTTGTTGGTCAATTTTTGAATCTCCAATACCGCACAAAAAACACTCCATATCCTTAAGTGACAAATATCTAAAAGTGTTGTTTGATTTCCCTAAAATTTAATGTGATTGTAAGATTCTCTCAAGAAATCCTCTTTTATGCTGACTAAGGCTGGTATTGTTGTGTATTCTAATGTGCAGATCCGCAAACAACTGGAGGACTATTGCATACATGGCCAATGTGCTGGCGAAGTCTCGCTCCCCTCCCAGTCCTCCCACTCCTCCTCCAGCACCAGAGGAGGCAGATGTGGCAGAGGACACACCACTTGTGTCTGTGCCTGCTTCTGCTGCAACAACGGCTGTAGTTGGCGAAGCAGAAGAGAGTGCGTCAAGCGTCCCCCGCCGCAGCTTCTCCATCCGCTGCTTATTGTGCTGTTGATTCACTCCTGTTCCTTTAAAATTGTTTCAAATAAAAATTATTTTCAAAGTCGATACTAATAGTAAATGTTGTGCGCGGTAACAAGTTACAACAATAGCGGGCGAAGCAATCGGATTTAGTGATGGCAATGGCCGGTAGAAGTTCCTGACAAATCTGACCAGTTGAGTGACTTGATAAAAGCGACATCAAGGAGTGGCACCAGAATGGACGTCAGTTAGAAACCAACTTTCTTTCTCTTACTTGTACACTGGTTGTTACAGTTATGGCCATGCAATATCATGATGATTATCGGTACGGCCCAAAGCCAAGAATAACTTCATAGCAAACCTCTACGAAAGAGAGGGGAACATGCAGCGTCGCGAGTAAGGACTGAGCAAGCAACGACATTCTTATCCGTAGGAAAATGTATCGAAGCAGCAACCTTAGCAAGTCGACTTGGTATTTGTTTTATGTGTGTGGATTTAGATGTGTGGATTTAGATGCACTCAGATGAAGAGCCAAGGTTCAATTTATGCAAAAGAGAAAGACCAACGAACTGCAAGTTACGCTATACTGTCCACTAACACCACCAAATACTAAACAATCAGCTCATACGATAACATTGCACGAGACTGACCGACGGTACGGACTACAACTAACTGGCTAACAGTTCTAGCACATCTTGGATGCGCACTTCAACAACATTCCAACTTGGAAGGTTATTGGAAGGTCGTGCGTAACTTGTAGTTCCTTGGTCTTTCTCTTTTGGATTTAGATGTGTGTGACTTTCGATGGCTGCTCGCGGTCTGAAGGCTATCAAAGTACTCACCAGCACAGGCTTGCTTTGCAGCCCCTACTCTCCCTGCTGTTTTGTTATTGTATACTCTGTTGTCTTCTCCCCTTCTGACGAGTAGGTTGTGTACTTAGTAAAAAATAACAAAGTAAGTCATATTGGTGGATATATATTTTCGTCGTATAATTCGGAAGTAGAGTACTGGAAACGCACTTTTCATATCTACATACACTAGCACCGCTACAGTATATAATGTGTTTACTTCCTCAGTGAACTGGGTCTGTCTTTTTTGCAATGCACAATTGAAATTCTGTAGCCTTCAATGCCTTCGATGCTGAAATTTTGAGTTTTGACAATCGCCATGGACAGCAGCTGGCCTACCCCTTTCCCGACCGACATGTTTGGTGAGGTGGTAGAATACAACTCTGACAGGAAGATCTTGGGAAACGTGGTCTTCCTGGATTCCGAATCGTTGGGCACAGGGCAGTATGGAGAGGTATACAACGTTGTAATGCCCGCTGCACAACCAGTAAGTACGAGACGAACCATCTCGACTAAGTGAAATCAATCTAGCGAACGCATGGGATCTAAGCAATCTTAAGTGATTCTATCTTAAAGAGCTGTGCGATGTATGTGTGCAAGCTGAGTTCCTAAAGAGACCTAACACTAGCATTCAGCGCACTAGCCATGATGATCAGACTGGTCAGGTCTGAAGCTACTGATAGAAAGAGAATAGTAAATATGGGTTTTATAGTAGCGAAGTGGTGATAAAACACACAGACATATTGGCGCTATCTGCAGTGAGATGGTGATAAAACACAACTGGTATATTGCCGCTAACTGCATGCATATAAAACATGGAAACAAGAATTTTTTAAGCACTAAAATTCTGCTAAACAAAACTGTCATGTTGGCGCTAACTGCAGTGAAATGTTGATAAACACAAACGACATGTTGGCGCTCACCACACACCAGCTCACACGGCACTCTTCAATATGCACAGTGTTGAAACAGCAGCAGCAGCGTGTGTGAACTTTCGAGCTATTCTATTTCATTTGTGCGATTCCATAGATGGTGGCCAAGGTTCTGTTTTCCTTCCGTGACGGAGCGGAGCAGGTGTGCAAGGAGCTGAGGGTCTGCTCAAAGCTGCGACACCCAAACATAGCTGCATGCCTGGGCGCCATGCAAACCAGGCTGTGGCCCCTGATATTTTTCGAGCGTGTCGACGGTAGGACACTCAGTGCCATGGCTCGAGCTGCAGATGACGAAAACACCACGCTGGACGAAAGTGTACTGCAGAGCGTCTTCAGCCAGGTGTTAAAGGCGCTCCATTATATGCAGACAGCAAAGGTCGTGCACGGGTAAGTGATAAAGAAGATCCACATTGATTGTTTTCCATAATTTTACCAAAGACTCACGCTGCTGTCTGGTGTTCACAAGGTGTTCGTAGCGCCGGAAACGGAGCGTCTCTGTAAGTTTGTATCCCTGGTGATATTTGTGCCTGGAGAGCACTATATAAGTGGTGCTCTTCAGGCACATTCGTCCTCAGCCTACTCAAGCTTAATCGGTGAGGGGTGAATTCCCCGAAACACTATGTATTAAGCAGGGAGTGGTCCTTTCTTGCAGGTTTGCCGAGTCGAAGGTTTGGACTTCTCGTGTGCTCTGGGTGGCAGTCGTGAGTCAGTCAAATGTCGATGCAAGTCGGCGGAATAGCGCGAGCTCCAGTGCGGGAGCAAACCCATTCCTAGAAAAAGATCTTTTGGTATTATCTTTTGAATTTTGCGAGTTTCGTGCTACAGTCAACTTCGCTAATAACGACTGCGGATATAACGACAATTCGCGAATAACGAGAGAATTTCCATGCCCAGAGCAAAGTCCCGTCCAATTGTAATACATATATGAGACTTCGGTTATAACGACACTTTGTGAATAACGACACTTTTCTGATGCCCCGCCGATTGTCGTTATAAGCGAAGTTGACTGTAAGTGTAACGTATGAATGCTGAGGCACCAGTTGCGCCCTGTCTATTCAACCAGAATTTGCTTGGTGGAGTAAGAGGAATAAAGAGAATAACAGCGGTGAGGCAACCTAAATTCGCAACAAGGTGAACTGATGATTTTTCAATTTTTTCGAAACCTGCATAGCAAGGGTATTAAATTTTGTTCGGGGCTCATGGTGCTGGTGAATGAGGTTAAATTTACTACTTGAAAGTAAATATTAAAATGCAGCAAATACTGAGCATGAATCTAATCTATCGAATCCGTACTCCAGTGTAACCGTTGGGGAGTTTATGTTATGAGGTTGCTACTGGAATGTCATTAACCGGATCGTGTATTGTTGCGTTTTCGGCCTGCAGTGACTTGCAGGAAACCAACGTTATGGTCACTCATGATGGAGTAGTGAAGCTCATTGACTTCGGGCTCGCGGAAGAGCTGACGAGCGGTAAAAAGGCGCAGGTCATCCGCCACAGAATGTACGCCCACCCTCCAGAGCTGAACATGGCAGAACTTGGCGGTATTGACTACAAGCTGGATATCTTCTTTGTAGGCGCGATGCTCTACCGCGTAAAGGTACGCCGTAGACCCTACGGAGACTTCCCCAACACCAACTACCTAGCTCAATGTCAACTAGTCCAGAGAGGTGTCAATAAGGACGGGCAACGCTATGACCAGATGTCGACAGATCTGCAGTCATTTGTCGATGCCCTTACAGCGTATGAAGCCGATGCAAGGCCGGAGGCGTCGCAAGCTTTACTGCTTCCATGGATCACTGGGGCCAGAGATTATCAGCCTCCCCAGCTGCTTTCATATGAGCCAGAAGCAGCGTCTCCTAAGGACATGGACCCTGCAATCCTAACAAGAATGGCTAACGAAACGTGCAGCAACCGTTGGAAAACAGCAATGGACATTAGTCGGTAAGGGCATGATTTTTCTAAGATCTCTACTGATGGAGCGGTCCACTGTTTTGACTAAGGTACCCAAATGGCGAGTGGTGAGAGCAGTATGGCTAGTACTAGCATGATCGCCTCTAGCTCCTTTTCTACTTCGCTCCTATCCACATTCATGATGACTGTACAAACGCAAAACATGCTCATTGATTTTTGCTCCTAGCTACGAATTAACTCTCCATCCATTGCCGGTTGTTTATTGTACCTTTGCAGATCCAAGAACAGTTGGCAGTCAATTGCCTACCAATCCAACGTGCTTCGCCAGCCCAGGCAGCCTTCTCCTCCGTTGTCGACCTCCGTGGAGAATTCGCGTTGCCGGCTGGTTACATCTGAGCCAGCAGCGTCTTCTCCAATTATTGTAATCGGAGGCTTGAGTAGCACTGCAACAAGGGAGGTGGAAGCAGCGAAAGAGGACACTCATGGCCGCTGCTCATGCTGGCGAAGGTGTCTATTCTTCTTCTGCGTGCGATATTAGTGAACAGCTTTGTTGTACCTTCCCACTGACATACTTTCCCGAATAATTATTTTCTTCAATAAAGAGATCAAAATCGATAATATTGCGAGCGCTAGGGCGAAACGATTCTGTAGAAAAGCTGACTGTTATCGCCAGAACTTGAGCCAGGCCAGTGCCAAGTGAACACAACCTCGATTCAGCGGTTCAGTAGGACGCTTGGACAGGTCGCATTTAGCATGGAAACGACTGAACAATGTGTTGTGCGTGACTTTCAGCCGTCTTCGAAACGGCTGAATTCAGCCATAGCTTGTGCAAGCAGCTGTGAGACACCGTGTTCCACGTTTTCTGGAAATAGACAAATTTGAATATTTTCACTTCACCACATTGCAACATTGCCAATTTCCGACCGGACGACGGAAAGTGCTTCTTCAAGCTCCAACACCAGGCACAGCTCCAGATGCCAGCACGCCAAACACTGCAGCGTGGTCACCTCTACTGCGTCTGGCAAGAAATTTGAACTGACAACCCTTGTCACTCTAAGCAACAATCATTTCCTTCCCTGAACGACTCGAATTTCGCCAGCAGAAAAGCTCTGCAGAAGCGCAAGATGTATTGAACAACTCTCGATTTGTGCGATCGAAGCACGATTTTTCGCCTCCTGAAACTGGCCGTGCGGCGGCCACCGCGTGACATTGCAGATCGACGGATTTGATCGAGTTGATCGACAATCAACATCAGAATCAAAATCTGGACGATCAGGTTGATCAGCAACACGATGTTAGCGTGCATTTACCCGAGTTGCCATGGCTCTATGTGGTGGTGACGTTAAGACTACTCAGGTGTTGGTATGGTGGTGGTTTGTTCTCCGCTCAATCGTGTACACTGTATCAGCGCTCGTTTTGGACCCAATATTCAGTTGTATTTTGGGCCCATTTCGAGGTGGTCCCCAGTTCCAAGGTGTTCGTAAGTTATGCAACGAGCCCTTTTGCATGGTTGTCGTAGACCCCAAAGGAAACCTACTTGCAAAATTTGAGCGAAATCGGAGAGATGGCCCAGCCCAGCATTTCTGGTTTTCTCAGACATGTTCTCTTAATTTTGATGTAGTGTCCTTAGATTCCGTAACGCTGCCTCTAAAGCGTAGATTGTTGGAGCAGTGCTTCGAGGCCAATACACGGTACCGAACTCACGGCTGAAGACAGACCCGGAAACGTAGATGACAACGGAGTGGAAGAACAGCAGCTGGCGGAACAGACCGCTCCAAATAAGGAAGCATCACCAAGATCATGGCATCCAGGCACACCAAACGAATCAAACAAACACGACGTCGCAATTCAGTACGCTTGGCTTCCTTTGATTCTTCATCAAAACTGAACGTTTAAACAGAACCAATAGGGTACCTTTTGTAACTCGCCATCGTTCTGCTTTCCAATTGCCATTTGCCATCGTTCTTCTGTCCGCTTGCCAGTGAACGATAATGTGTTGTCGAAATTTACTCATTTTGGCGGGCCAAAAAGGCCTGATATTCATGATTTGCACACATTGCGTGTTACCGCTCGACAGGGAGCACGCTAGCCAGGTAAACCCCGGCGATAACATTGCCAGCCAAAAGTGGCTTGTTTCCGTGTGACCGCGACCTTAGTTTTATATATATTTTTAAATTTCGGCCAGTTGGCTACTATCATTTCGTCTTGGGTTTAGACAAGGGGAAGTAGCCATGTATGGGGTGAGCCCGCCTTTCAGTACTGGGAGTGGCAGCTCGCTCGACTTGGCTCTACTGAGTGCAGAGGACCCACACCTTCATTTGGCGAGCTGCGTCGTGAGGATTTTGCAGTCAGATGTGCGACTGCGGGGCTCCCCTAGGTGTAGGTTTAGGTCAGCTATAGATTATGTGGTACATGTGGTACATGAGCCAGTTCTAGTGATTGTGTCAACGAAGCAGTTTAGCGAGATGTCCAGAAAACTGAACCATGCCGGAGTACATCTAAAAGTAGTAGAGTTCCCCAGGATGAAACGACAAATTCGTTGTAACTTGTTCACGCACGAGGAAATTATCGAACAACCATAATGATATAAATCTGACTTACTCAATCTGCCAGCAAGCTGTTTCGTTCTTCCCGAACCCATCAGCGTAGCATAGAGAAAAATGAGGCCTAACCTGGTAGCAATGAAAACATACCATCCAAAACCAGAGTGCTCAAAATGAGAAGTCAGCGAGCTCTGTGTACTGCAGACAGCCGTTGGCTGATTGATTTTCTCGAGAAGTAAAGGTGGGATTCACAGCAACGCGCTACATCATATCTTGACTAATTCAGAAATGAGCTTGAAAAGGCTCCAGCGAGAGATTCACAGGTCTCATTTGTCGCCTCCCTAGTGGATGCGCATGTTCTGTTCTCCTTCGTTTCAGCCCGCGTGAGTAAGGACGAATCCGAGACCTTTGGACCAAGGAGTTACATCTGCCCCGCCCCCTCTTCCATCCAATATGCCACCGCCCCCGCAGTGCAGGATCTGATGGTTCTGTGGGATTCAGTAAAAAAACAATGCGCTACATTGTAGCGCGAAGGTTCAAGTGATATCCATGTTAGGTGGTTGTCTGGTTTTCTGTGGTAGTACATCTAGATATTTGGCCAAATCACTCATCTGGTCACCATCAAACAGCCAAGCTAAAGTGGTTTGGGCATTTCAGTCGACATTCTGGCTGTTTTTCCAATATATTCGTCGACGGAATCGTATCTCGATCAAGGCTATGCGACCGTCCCCGTCAAAACTGGTTTACGAATCTAAAGGAATGGTCCAACATGTCATGTAGTTCAGTCTCTCGCTCTTGGTTGCTGCTGCTGAGCGTGTCAAATATACATGTAGCCAGCTTGTTTATGAGTGTGCGTATCTTCTATTATTGCCAATGACAATTCAATGCCCCTACGACCAATATGGTTATGGGCGGTTTGGGTATGGGTGATACATAAGTTCCAACTCCACCCAGGCTTTCGGCTTGCCACTATCCCAATCGCTCACGTTATCATAAGTTTCCTACGACAGAAAGTTTACCCCACATGATCTTCAACATTACACAAAATTAATAAGAGCCAGTGGCGTACTAAAAAAATTAACTGTCTGGAGTTTGAGTACCGGTATATACAGGCTTGTACCGCGTACTAATTATAGGTATAATCAACTGGTGGTGATCGGTATATACAAGACCGAGATGGGAGTCGTTGATTTTTTCCGAAATGATTTAGCTTCATTGTGTCTCCACTCTGAAATTACTTCTTCCTCTCCCTAAGTAAAGTAGTTAAGAAGTGAATATGGAACAACCGTGGCCAGTACGCATTCCAAAAATAGTTTTCGGCGACCCAGTCGAATACGATCCGATCCTGCGTTCTGTGGACAAAAGGATCATGCTCCAGCCGAATGCACTCGGTGCAGGAAAGTTCGGCAGGGTGTTACCTGCCATGATCCCGAGCTGCAAGTCAGTAAGTGCATTAAATATGATAGCATTTCCATGCTTTGATTTATGTATCATACAACAGCTCTTTCCACCTGATCAGGATGATCATGGTCGGTATCATATTTCGCCAACGGTAGCAAAGGGCTCCCGGTATCTTGAACAAAACCAGTGATTGCAAGTGAAACATCGAAAAATAGCACTGAACGGATAAGGTATTGCCCAGCAATCACGTGATGATAACACTTTACTGGTTCGTGTCTGTGTTGTTTAGGTTGCCGCTAAGATTTTGTTTTACAAAGACCGCCAGCACTACAACCAGTATATTTGCCGCGAGGTTTTGATAGGCTTGCGGCTTCATCACCCGAATATCGCGGAGTGCTTCGGAGCGGTGCAGACGGACCTGTGGCCGGTGATCTTTCATGAGCAAGTGCCCGGTGGCTCGCTGCTGCAGGTCGACGAGGAGCTGGATGTTGAAAAGTGTCCCATTGCTGAGGTACATTTGAGGACCATCTTCTCTCAAGTCCTGAGCGGACTGCACTACCTGCAGACTGCAAATGTCGTGCACGGGTAAGATAATCGTCGCCGTCTCCCATGTCATGAATTAGAATGCTTAAAATGCGACCGGATCTGGTCTAAATCTGGCAAATGGTTTAGCTGGCACGCAAGTTGATTCTCATTGATTTTGTCCTCGTTTTCAACTCATTCGAATTCATGAATACCATATTAGCTTGCCATGAACGCCGCAATAGATTTCTGTGATATTCTAAATTCTGTACTTGTTTCCTATATTGTCAGAATATGCATCTGCGCCTTGATCATAGAGGGTGGTGGCGTTCCAGCCCACGCGGACAACTCGGCTTCCAGCCAAATTTCAGGCGAACCCTTAATCTGTATTCTTCCTCTTGTGTTTACAGCGATTTGCACGATGGAAATATAATGGTTTCCGGGGAGGGATCCGTAAAGATAATTGATTTCGGCTATGCGCGCGATATTAGCAATGGCAAGCTGAAGTTGGTCCGAACACACAGGTGTCCCTTTCCGCCTGAGGTGTTGGTCGCGGATTACGGTGGAATTGACCACAAACTTGACATTTTTCTACTCGGTCGGACAATCTACCACACCGCCGTCCGGAGTACGGGTTTCAAGAACTTCGCGAATAGGACTCCAGAGGAACAATGCCAGGTCATTGCGAATGGTGTAGATCAAGCGCCTCGTCGCTACGCTAAGCTTTCGTCCGAGCTGCGTGACTTCATCAACCTTCTAGTGAGTTATGCAGCTTCAGACAGGCCTGATGCAGCAATGGCCCTACACCACCCGTGGTTCACAAATGATCCTGATTATCAATGCCCAGTGCTGCGTGCGTACCAAAAACGTCCTAATCCTTCAGGCGTTGAGGACCTGAACTCGGCTGTGCTACAGGCGATGGTTGAGGAGCTTGGTGATATCAGCTTTAACGAACTTGCCGACAAAATCATTCAGTAAGTAGTCAAGTGATTCTGGAATTTGGCATGTGGTCATGTCATTGTAACGTCACACTTACAGGTGACAATCAATTGTCTTCAGACTTCTCCGGTTGCATCTTTTCCTCAAACCAATGGATAATCAGGAAATTATTTCACATGCAACCAAGATCAGGCTTTTCCACACAGATGCATCTGTATGCGCTGTGATATGACCATAACAAGGTTACATTTGTGGTACGCTATTCCGATAACCATACAGACCATTTTGAAATTTACTAACTTCAGGTAATCGACTTGTTCAATGCATTGATTGACATTAAACTGAACGCTTTGCCGTTATGGATATCTATTATGTAGCTGATTGTCTTTACTTTTTTCCTGGCTATCCTTTGCAGCAACAAGAACAGCTGGCAAGCTATCGCCTACCGAGCCAATCTCTTCCGCCATGGCAGCCCAACACCAGAAGGCTCTGCAGCAAAGTCAAAAGCTTCCGCGGCCACCCGCTAAGGTTCAAAAGAAGCATAAGCCGTTTCCCACCAGGCTCACCCCAATACTGATGTTGTTGTTGATGTTGGGGTTGGGTGTGCTTTGATTCGCTCACTAAAGTGGCGAAATTATTATTATCCAATAACAGTGAGGCAAATAAAGCGAGGCACAATGCCACAACATTATGCCGGGAGTTATATGGATAGAGAGATTTATGAAAAACACATATAGTATAATGTACTCAATCCGCGGACAGAACTTTTTCGTCCTTTGTGGACTCATCAGCGCAGCACAGAGGAAATGGGGCCAATCCTTATAGCAATGAAACAAAATTCCAAAGCCAGATTTAAACCAGGCCCGAACGGACCTTGCCAGAGTGCTCAAAAAATCTGTGAGCTGTGCGTGAACGCAAACAGCAGAGGCACAACCCTATACAAAAGTGCTCAGCTGCCCCAAGAGCAGGAGCAAAATACTCGATCTGCGGACAAAACTGTTTCGTCCTTTGTGGACTAATAATCGCAGCACAGAAGAAATGAGGCCAAACTTAATAGCAATGAAAAATCAATTTTCCAGAGGCAGATTTAAACCAGGCAGGAGTATATGATTGTATAGACCGCAACAAGGGACCGAGTGGATAAATAGATATTTTTATAAATCACTCCATATACACCCACAGTCTTAGGCATGCCCTCCCTTATTGGTGTTTGTACCTCCTTATCGCCTTCTTAGTATTTTGACGCCACTATTTTACCTGATACCTTAGCGGTCAAATATATCGCGTATTTGACTGCTAAGTCAAAATATGTCCGTGAATTCAAACGCATTCTACGCGTATTTTACTTCGGTTAAATGCGATGGTTTCCGTAACCTGCTGATGGTGCTCGATAGAATAATGCTACGATGAAGCAACTTGTAAATTTAAGATCTCTCTCCCTGCCTTCCTTTGCTGCTACTTTCATTTTCGTATTTTTCTTTATATTTCTTTTTTCGCTTCATTTCTGAATCTTCTTCCTGGTTGCCATCGCTTTCATAATAATGGGCAGAATTGCCCGTTTGACATGATTGTGATGTTAATACATAAACAACAACAATACGCGAAGTTCCGGGGTACGATTTTCCATGCCAAGATCCATTTAAGCGCTACGTCTGTTTTCCAGTCATGCTTCATACGATTTTTCGGAACTCACCATGTTTCGTATGGAAATGTTGCGTCATCGAGTGCAGAAAGATGTTTCGCGTACAATATTGGTACGAGAAGCATCGATTCTCCGCGGGAAGTTTGGATTTCAGCACAAATCTTCAAAATATAAAGGCATAGCGTGGGATTATGACGTGTTTACGATCGTAATCTAGGAAGTGACGGTAAACACATAAGTTCCGTACTCCGGAACATTTCCCTGCTCGACAACGGCGTAAAATCATCCGTAGCGCTAATGCCTCTACGGAATTTTGCTCGACTAATCGTACTCCGCGATCCGGAATAAGCTTTCCCCAAATCGGCCCATTTTTCGCCTACCCAGCTTTCCGCTCGGCTCAAGAATACATCAGATTCGGCTGCAAAATCAGCTGAAAATTGGAATGTATTGGAAAATCGGCTAGAGGAATTTTTGGCATATTGGCTTGAAAATTGGTGAGATATTGGAATATTTGGCAGATTTTCCGCGATTCTCAAATATAGTCCAGCGGATAATGCTTAGAAAATGTTCGTATAATGCTTATCACAATGCTCCAAAAACTATCTTGTAATGCCGATTATAATGTTTCAACAAGGGCTACAATGCGCTTGGTTTGGAACAAAGATGGAAGAACGCCTGCACATCGTCAAACATCCAGGAAAAGATGCATTACGTCGATCTGCCTCGAAAGCTGCCGCAATGTCTTTCACGAGCTCCACTGCTTCTTAGCACTACAAGACATGATTGCGTCTCCATTGGCTGCTCTGCATTGCAACTTTGATGCAGGGATGTGGCTGAATGATGGGTGTATCAATCCTTTCCCTTGCTTGTCCATGTAGTGAGAGGTGAAACCATTATTGCTGGTGATCTTTTGGATGCTGGTAGCTTATCATGGGAAGTTGTATTCCTGCCTTCAGACAAGCTGTCACTGCATTCCACTCTGTAAAAAGACGTCTTCATCTGAGCGAACTCACGTGAGGCCAGTTCCAGATCCACCCTTTTGCGGAAATCCTAAAAAAACGTGGTCAGAAGTTATTTTGCCGCTCTACATCTTCTGCTGACGCAATCTGCCTCGCCTGAGGTTGTGTAGAGACAAATGGTTGGCCACAATACCTTTTCTGATAGCACTTGGCGGTAGGCCTTGCATAACAATCGTCCACGATGAACTGTACGTGCTGACCTTTTATACTTACTTTATACTTACTTATACTTAATAATTTGTTACTGTTTATTAATAATCCTTGCCTCTCCATCCGAGATCATTAATTTTCTTAAATCAAGATTTGTTCCTTATTTTTTGCACTTCTGCAGAGCTTTGCTGCTAGTGAGATTCCAGTCGTTCAGGGAAGGAAATGCTTGTTGTTTGGAATGACAAGGGGTGTCAGGGCATATTGCTTATCCGATTCTGTAGAGGTGACCACGCTACAGTGTTTGGCGCGCAGGCGTCTAGCTCTTTCCCAAAGGTGCTCTTTTAATTCGCACTTAGTGCTTTTCGCGTCCCTCAAAATATGCTGAAAAGGTGCTCTTTTTCCAGTGAAAACAGGCAAAAGTGCTCTTTGTTTCTGTGAAGCATAGCCATGATACATGTTCAGATATGAACCCAAGCTGAGAAATGAATACGCACTCTTCCATGGGTCCACGAAAGGCAAAACAGGAAGTAAAGTTTAAAAAACCACTTTTACCGCTTGTTGCGCCCAAAAAAGCGGGGTGCAAAGGCCCACGGAGCACTCGGAAACTGTGATCGCATGCATGAGGAAACAGATTTTAGCACTTTTCAGCTAAAAAAGCTCAAAAAGGCGATATTGACCAAAACGCAATAAAGGGCGAAAGAAACGGGCTTTTCCAAAAAGGACCAAAAAGGCGAAAAAAAGGCGATCACCTTTAGGAAAGGGCCACTGACGTCTGGAGCAGTGCGCTGATGTTTTTTCGCTTTTCGCTACTGCCGTGCTGACCCATTGACCCCGCAGTCACGGTCCAGAATAGAGAAAAAGCCCAGCCGCCGTTTTGGATGAAAGCGTGCCATTGACTGTCTATGCATGCTACGAGGTGAAGAAAAATTAAAGGATAGTAGCTCTATATAATTGAAAACTACCCGAAAGTGGAGTATCGCGTGGTGTGTACGCACTGTTACCCTTACCAATTATACGGCACTCCTCACCTCATTCATGATCATTGTGCAGGCACAATACATGCACACAGTGATTATCGTTCCAGTAGGAGATAATCTGTCGTCCAAGATCCATTGCGTATTGTGTACAAGCAGGTCTTGTATCCAATTGGTGGTGATCGGTATAAATATCGGGGATTGACAGTTCAATTTTTTCCGAAAATTAATAATTTAGCTATCGTACAAGATACGGAAGCATCTCTACCTGTCGTCACTGATACGCAAGCTTCTTCTAGGCTCCTTTCCTACGAGTCTTTCAAGTTCCCTTCTTCAATTTGAATATCAAGAAAACAAGATGCACAATTCGTGGCCCGAAACCGTGCCAGAAGGCGTTTTCGGCCAACCGGTCGAGTACAATGAACACCTTAGCTCCATGGACAAGGTGATCCTGTTCAATCCCAGAGAGCTCGGCGCAGGAAAGTACGGCGCTGTGTACCCTGCAGAGTTTCCAAGCAGCAAATCAGTGAGTTTTTGCGCCTGAAAATATTTTAGGTATATAGTGAAACCTGTTTAAGACGACCGGTTAATGGATCTTCAAAACGTGGTCTCCTTTACCAGGTGGTCTCCTTACCCAGGGTCATTTGAGTGGAAAAAGCATACCTTGGTCCTGGTTACAGTGGTCTTCTCAGACAGGTGGTCGCCTTATCCGAGTGGTCGCTTTGACCGGTTTTACTGTATAATCCTTGTTGATTCCTTTCGCCTATTGACGTATTGCACAACAAAATTACTGTCGTTGAAGATGGACAAGTAGTTCAAGCCGAAGATCCTTCTTTTCTATGCTATGTACATGGCAAAGAACATTTTTGGCAAAGCAGCCAAGTTTCCGGTTAAAATTATCAGCCGTCATTTAAAGTCAAATATTAGTGCATAAGGGCTCTTCCAACGATCTAGTGGATAAATCTTACCCTTGTCCCTGTGTTTGTGGTTGTGCAGATCGTTGCAAAGGTCATTTTCCACTCGCCCAGGTATAACTATCGATTTACTGTTTGCCGCGAGGTGATGACGTGCTTCAAACTCCGGCACCCAAACATCGTCCGGTGCCTGGGTGCTATGCAAACGACAAGGTGGCCAGTTGTGTTCTACGAGCGCGTGCGCGGTCAAACATTGCTGGCCCTCAACGAGCATCTTGATAGTTGTGGAGGGTACCACACTGAACGGAACCTAGCATACCTGGCCTCCAAAGTCCTTGGTGCGCTGCACTACCTTCAGAGTGGAGGAATCGTCCATTGGTAAGTTGCCGTTGTCAGAAAATATCACTCACATCTTTATTACAGCACCCCTAATTGGGCCTGGATAGGCTATAATCATAATTATCAACACTCTCCTCGTATTTCAAATTTGCAACTTGCATTACGTGAATATGTCATGGTATGCTAGTGTTTAGATTCGTTTTCTTTTGCTTTCACAGCGATTTGCACGAGGGCAACATAATGGTTTCGGCAGATGGAAACGTGAAGGTGATTGACTTCGGAATGGCGAAAGATATCACCGGTGGCAAGGTGACGGATGCGTGTCCGCGAGACTCCGCGCATCCTAGGGAGATGGTCAGCACGAAATATGGTGGAATTGACCATAAGGTCGACATTTTTTTTCTCGGCAGGACTCTCTATCGAAGTATCATCCGGCAGGTGCCCTTCAAGGTTTTCCTGACCCAAACAGAAAAGGAACAATGCAAGGTCCTGAAAGCTGGGGTAAACAACATACCCATCCGTTACTGGGTGATTTCGCAGGAGATGCGTGACTTCATGAACGATCTGATGAGTTACAAAGCTTGCAACAGGCCAGATGCATTCATTGCCGTGCTGCACCCGTGGATCACCATGCAGCCTGGTCACCACTCTCCGGCATTGATTTCGTACGAAGACCACCACGTCAATCCTACCAACGTCCGGGAGTTGAACGAGCCCGTGCTACAGGCAATGGTGGATGAGCTTGGCAATATCAGCCTGCTTAATCTCAGCTTGACCATCATCGAGTAAGTTTATTTAAACCGAAGTACATGTACATGTATGTGGATTTAGCTGGATTGGTGTTGTTGGTGAAACTATATTACGGTTCAAATTATCCATCTGAATATCATGTCTTGCCCTGGGGTGCTGTATACCTTAACGGAAATGTGGGTTAATGGAATGATTGACAAAACAGTTGGTGTTCTTCATGTATGGCCATGATGTATTTCTATTCAATAGCTCTTTCCTTATTATTTTTTCTTTGCTGAAATCTTGCAGAAAGAGAAACAGCTGGCAAGCAATCGCCTACAGAGCGAATCTCCTCCGTCACACCAGTGCAACAGCACCAGCACCTCTACCATTCCCCACACCTTTCCCTGCTCCAGCACCAATTGCAGCCCCCAGCGCAGCCCCCAGCGCAGCCCCCAACGCAGCCCCCAACGCAGCCCCCAGCGCAGCCCCCTCTGCTGCTCCTCTTGGCACATGGGTGTGATGGGACACTGCTACGCATTGACGACCCAATAACCTTTATCGCTTCATCTTCCCAAACTGTTGAAGAATAACTATTTTCCGAACTGAGCTAAATCAGTACCGGGTGCGGAGTGGACTATCACGAGTATCCGGGAAATGATTATGGCTGCCGTACAGTCTCCAATATATTGTGCAACAGTTTCGATATCCAATTGAAGGCAATCACAAAACGTTCTTGGATAAAAGTGCCAGACCTCTTATGCTATCGCTTGTCTACCAGTGATGGCCGCGCAACGCATCTTTTTCCAAAAATATCAGTGAGAACCCTCAGATGATCATTGTGCCTAAAAGGAAAATCCCTTAAAAGAAGCAATTCAGCAAACGAGGTTTAATATTGAAGTTCGTTACTCAAAATTGGATATTAATTAAGGTGGCAGCCTGGTCCAAAAATCCCTGAAAAATCGAATTTGTAAATTCATATCGAGTGCTTGAAAGAGCATGAACAGCTGCAAAATCCCTGAAACTTTTGGCTCGATCTGACCAGCCGTTTAAGAGTTATGGCCGAAAATGTGCCCTTGCAAGGAAAGATTTTTTTGTTGCACGCTGTCATTCGTTGGCAGCACTGTATTTGAATGTGAGCAGACCATGCGCAACTTGTCGTATCATGGAAACACGCGAAAGGGTGCAGAATTTTGCTCCGTCCAAAAAAAGTCCAAAAATCACGTTAAAAAACCACGTAGTGGGCAGCAGGACTTTTGCCAGCACCCTCGTGACGTTTTGGCTTGATTATTGTAGTTGACGTTGATTTAGGCTGTGTTTACATGAAGCGTTTCAACCCGGGTTAAGTTCGACCCGGGTCAGATTTCAACCCGCCCTGTACACAAAGTGAATGGCGCGTTTACATGACGCACTGCGCTTGACCCGGGTTGAAATTTCGCCCCGGGTTAATTTCAACCCTCCCCCAAGGGGAAGTACAAACGTACTTCTGTGCGTATCTCGCGCCAGGTTTGAACGGCACTGCAGCTGCAAATTTCGCGCGAACGGATTCACGTGACCATACAGGACTGTAGAAGTGGACTTTTGGCGGCATATCAGTATTTGACCCGGTTCAATTGTCTTCATGTAAACGCTCACCTCTTTTGTCTGTCGTACAGACTTTCAACCCGAGCTGAACTCGACCCGGGTTGAAATTTCTCATGTAAACACAGCCTCAGTGACTTTGGCAAGTTCGAGTCGTGGCAAGAAGTCAGGTAGGATTCAGTACTAGGCAGTAGTGGAACGTGAGTGGTAGTCTTTGCCAATTTTGGAGGGTATCCTGATTCGGTTTGAAGCGCTGTGGAAATGGCTTGCTGTGGAGGTCCCAGCACAGGATGTTTTATCAAAGGAACGTCCTCAAAGCACGCCCTGAACCTAAAAAATTCAAAAATTGACTTTGGTCTGTGGGAGTCTGACAGAACGCCAAATCCTGCCTTTGTGACAGATTCCAGGGCCACATTGAATTGCCATATCCCACCACTCATGGCTGATTCTGGACGTTTTTTAGGTTTGGATCCTGCGCACGGACAGAATTGGCTAGAAAATGTGAACAATTTGTAAATGTATTATTTTGTTTGGCTCCTGAGTGGCTCGCCAACCGTGGCACTATGGCGGAATTTGGAGTTTTTCCGGCCTTTAAAGCCTGTCAGGGAGGCGCAAGAACTTTTAAATCATGTCCAGAGGGCCAGCATAGTGGCAGGAGTCAGTGGTGAAAGTTGCACTCAAATCCATTGAGAGACACCAAAGTTACGGTCATTTGATTGCCATAATTATGAAATTTAGGACCAGGCTGCTACCTTAAGCGCGCCTGATGGGAGAATCGGGAATCCTTATAATTATAAATAAATACAGGTTAATAATGAAAGCCCCTAGGAGGGACAATAACAATAATTTATAATGCTCTGATACTGGTCAACAAATTCACAGTCTATTTCGTTAGTTTGTGTAGACACTGACTCACGCTGCTATCTGGTGTTCACGAGGTGTTTGTCGCGCTGGAAACGGAGCATCTCTGTAAGTTTGTATCCCTGGTGATGTTTGTGCCTGGAGAGCAATATAATAAGTGGTGCTCTTCAGGCACAATGGAGTGGTGCTTTCTTGCAGGTTTCCTGAGTGGACGGTTCGAAGGACTTCCCGTGTGCTCCGAATGGCAGTCGTGAGTAAGTCAAGTGAGAATTCAAGTCGGCAGGAAACCCGTGGGCTCCCATGTAGGGAGCAACACACTCTTCCCCTACTATCGCCGAAGTCCCATCAACCTTTTCTTCATACAGTAAAATGGACCAAGGAACCACAAGTTACACTAGAATGTCCACTAACACCACCAGTTGCTAAATAATCCGATTACACTTTTAATATATAAAATAGTTGACAATGAAAAAATTATAATCGAGCAGAATCACAGTAGGTCTGTTTTCTCATCTGACGGCTCAGTTGTCTTTTAGAAGAATCAGTCCAACTCTAAATAGGATGGAATTACTTCAATGTAGAAGGGTTTGGTGCGCCTTCGGCGATAACTGAGGCATTGCGTGTTGCTCCCTACATGGGAGCTCCGGCTTTTCCCGCCGACTTTTCACTTGATCGACTCACGACTGCCCTCCGGAGGTGCACCGAACCGTCCACTCGCGAAAACGGCAAGAAAGAACCACTCCCTGCTCAAAACAAAGTGTTTCGGGCAATTCACCCCTTTTCAGTTCTAAGGAGACTAAGGAAGATTATGCCTGAAGAGCACAACATATAATATAGTGCTCTCCAGTCAAAAACATCGCGAGGTATACAAACTTCCAGAGACGCTTCGTTTCGAGCAAGACAAACACTTCCCGAACACCAGATAACAGCGCGAGTCAGTGTCGCTCATGGACGTGATGAACAAGTGCTAAGGACCGTTGGCCATTCGTTACGTTGTTGCCTCTAAGCCATCTAATTATTGTCAGCTGTGTACTTCAGCAGTTCAATTCTGTGCTCCAGTCCTCTTTATTCTCGTGAGCTGTGAACTTGTTTTGCGGTTTGTTTTGTATATTTGAATTCGCACAGTAAACGTGTACTTCAGCACTCCTGCTCGTTTGGTCTCGCGAATCCAAATAAAATGAATCAATCAATTCGCAAGCCCGCGAAGGGGACAACAATGGGAGGAATCGGTTAAATAGAATGAAAATGACTGCTGTCTGACGAGTGTTCAATACGAAACTCAGAATAACGGCGGGGAAAGATTTTTCCTTCATTGATGGCGGACATTGTAGAATATTAACTTTAAGGTGGCTCACACCCTCTGCGCGCGCATCGTTTGAAAAGTGTAGATTTTCAGTAAATTTTTCGGTAGCGATGATTTTTGTGCGATCAATCGTTGTAGGAAACGTCTTCTCGCTTTTCTGCAATTCTGGCGACCTAGCTAGAACCTGCTGCTAGTGTCCCTCTTCACTCGTTCTTTCTATGAAAGGGGAAGGCAGCACTCGCAGAAGATTTTCCAAGAATGCAATGTCGACTGGTGCTCGTAATAAGAAGGGAGAAATCAAAGTCCGCTCTTGAATCACGCCTGAGTCTTAGAAAATTATTTCAGAATACGCTTGTGTAGATTTCCTGCCAGTGCCACTGACATCTCGCGACCTTCAAATATAACTTGCTCGATCATCTCCCGCACTGACTGGTAAATTCGTCGGGTAGCTGTGGATGGATCGATTCAGGGAGGTCGAAGGTAAATACATCGAAGCACTTCAAACACGTTTCAAGACGCACTTCAAATTTTGTAATTGTGTCTTGAAAATTGTTTACAGCAATTCGTACTTCAATACGCTGTTGAATTGTATCCTCTGCTTGGGAGTCTCGACTGTTTTATTGCTGCATGGCTTTCCTCAACACCGTTCACTGTACATGCATCGCGGAACGCAGATTGGATGGCATTGGAGGTGAATTTGATAATTTGTGACTGTGTCATCAACCAATTGAGGACATCAAATATCAACAGGGACGTTCCGAAAATCACAAACGCTGCGAAATAGGTATGAAATGGTCCTACACACTGGTGGGTATTCCACATTCATTGTGTCATATCTTTAGACTGTTCGAAAGTTTGTCGTGCCGTGCAACTTTCACAGACTAATCCGATAATTGGCATGTGGCCCTATCGGCACACACTCATGCGTATGCCGCTGAGTCTATCTATATGTGCACGCACATGTGTGTATACTTACACAATTTTATTACGTGTGCAAAATTAGGCAATCTACATGTACATATATATATATATGTGTGTGTGTGTGCACTCACTCCTATGACATAGAACGACAGTGCAGGCTATGTAGAGTCGCACGAATGTGTGTTACCCGGGTGTGTATATGCATGCGCACTCGCGCGGGCGTTTTGAGTGCGCGCCTGGCATGGCATAACGCCGTTCAATATGACTAGTGTTGAACCGTGGTAATTTGCCCCACCCCTTCTTTTTTCTATTGGCGTTGGATATGCAACTAATGACATAAACTCGGTTGTTGAAAACGAGTGCCATGCACCACAATGGATTGGCAATAATATAATACAAGTAGCGCTGTAAAAGCGCTGGTAATACTCATGTTGCAGCCATGGCAGTTGTGATTAGCTTTCCAAGTCAAGCCTGCTGCAGAAATTATTGCACTCTGACCAGCTGGAGTGGCCCAGGACTGCAGGTTGTGGAGAACAGGAGCGATGCTTGTATATACGCTTGTATTTACATGATGGACTTCGAAGTAACGATAGGTGTATTACTTGTATGTTCTTCTGCCTGTGCACGTGTACATGTGCTGGTCAGTGTGGAACCGCCATCCATATCAGATCATACAGCTCAGCTGCTATCAGTCTCAACAGCTTATATCTGGCAAATAGGGTTTTAGTGACTCAATTTTGCTTACTGTGTTCAACAGAGTGGCATTGCACGCAGCTACTTTATGTAATAGTAGCATCTTGGAAATTTTATATTTTTGGTAGTTAGCTTCAGTAGAAACTTCTCCAGTGTGGCTCTTAGCTTCATTACCATGGAGACTAAGCATTCAAGTAATGCACGAAGAACAGTGGCTAGATGCGAAGTGAAAAGCCATTGGACCGTACCCAATGGAATACGCATTTAGTATAGCAGTATTGCTTGCTATGTTGGCAGCAAACACTTTATAATAATAATTGCACTACCAGTAGAAAGTGCCCAATGTCCATTGCTTCAGCACTGTGTTTTGGACAAAGCAGTCAAAAAATTCCACATCATTATTGGCTTCATGTTGGAGAAAGTTGTGAAAAACACTAGAGCATACATGTACACTCAATACACATGCTCAGCTACATGTATGGCATTTAGTATGTGGGCGACTTCAAAGTTCTATTTTGGTAGTTAGCTTCGGTAGAAACTGTCTAAACTTGATCCAAAGCTCTACTACTATGTTCTGAAGATGTTGCAATCAAGTAATGTAAGACACGTATCTGCCGCATTGGAGCTAGTTGTGAAAACCTTTAGACCATACACACAATGCACATGCTCAGCTATGGCATTTAGTATGCGGGCGACTTCAAAGTTCTATTTCGGTAGTTAGCTTCGGTGGAAACTGCTAAAACTTGATCCAAAGCTCTACTACTATGTTCTGAATATGTTGCAATCAAGTAATGTAAGACACGTATCTGCCGCATTGGAGCTAGTTGTGAAAACTTTTAGACCATACACACAATGCACATGCTCAGCTATGGCATTTAGTATGTGGGCGACTTCAAAGTTCTATTTCGGTAGTTAGCTTCGGTGGAAACTGCTAAAACTTGATCCAAAGCTCTACTACTATGTTTGAAAGATGTTGCAATCAATTATTGCAAGATACGTATCTGTCATATGGTGGAGTCAGGGGTTCTAAGGCGTTGGACAATGTCCCAGTGCAATGTGCTGATTCTTGAAAATATGGCATCACTTGACACTTCAAAGTTTTATTTCAAGAGTTACCTTCGGTAGAACCTGCTCAAACTTGCTACACAGTATCAATATTAGGTTATGATAGCATAACCATCGAATACACGGCAAGTCCAGTGTCAAATACTTGTGGGCGGGGCTAATATGTGGGACGTGTGCGCTGAAATGGGATGATTCCGAAAAGAGAAAAAGGTCACCTTCTAGCAGAATTCTACCCACTTCTAAAGCTTATGCTGGTATTTAGCAAGTATACTACTGTCCTGATGTTGGACATTAAGTAAAATGGGGTGACTACGAGTGCTACGGCCAAAAAAGTGATTTTCCGGTGTTTTTTTGGCCTAAATTGGTAATTGTGAGTATGTTATGTTTGGCCCCTCCCCCGAGTGAAACCGGCCGGTAGAACTTGATAAAATTTTGTCTCCGTACACTAAATATCCTACGGAACAAAGAACAATCGTTTGTAGCCACGTTTCAAACAAAAAAAATTTGGACCCGAGGGGTAGGAGCTACCTTAAATGGAAATGCTACTTCGTTCTCTTTTCTTATGCATTACAAGCAAGAGTAGATGAGAACGTTAATCTACTCGTCTAAAAGCATATACTGCTAAAATTAGATTGCAGATTTCCGCAAGGCGCACTCAAAATCTACAGTATGGTTTGTAGAAAAAGTTTGTATGCGTTTAAATTAAAAATGAGTAGCTATACTGTGGAAGCATAGCTGCTCAAAGCGTAGCTATGCATCGGCCAACTAATGGTATATGCATAACTGAAAGGGTTTTTTTGATTTTTTTCTCAGTTGCACCATCGGGGAGAAGTTAGTAATTTCCATTCTCCTCTTTGATTTCAGAACTCATTATTTTTCGTAGCATGGCTAGCTGCCGTGTTTGGCCGGAACCACTCTGCCCCGAGCTGTTCGGAGAACGGGTGGAGTATGACGGCGCGACGAAGACTCTAGCGGGTGTCATTAAGTTTGGCGCTGAGCTTGGCAGGGGAAAATTCGGAAAAGTGCATGCCGTATCCATGCCGGGAGTGCCAGAGGTAAGTAACCTGATATTGATATCATTGACCTACATATAGGGCTGTGACTGAGGGAGAGTATCCTTTTGTCGAATGTTCATGGCAGATATTACGTTCTACGGTTTATTAGTATTACAAGTAAATGCGCATTCAAATCACACACCTTGAAGCCGAAATCCCAAGCGTTTCTTGTGAGAATCACTGGTAATTGTGATGTCCCAATCTTAAGGGAATCGGGTGCTTTTCGAATTGTCCGCATACTCCAATACCACCACTTTAGGTCGTTGACCTTGCCCTAAAATAGCATACCTTTAGAAGGAAACAGGGAAAACGATGGGGCACAAGTTATGCATTAGAATCGACCAACTGAATCCGATTTTGAAACGTTAGACGTGCACAAGGTAGCACCAGACTGACAAGGAGTACTGAGACATTCCATGGCCAGTAAGTGAGCTTCCGCACTGCTTGATAGCGCTAAAACATGTCATTCCAACTTGGACGGTTCATAGATTCTAGTGATAATTCCCAAATAGGTCAAGGTAAGCGCCGTTAAGCCCAACACAAGCTACACACCAAGGCTGAGTGGAATGCAGGCTTGGTACGATAACGGGACTGTAAGACCATGGAACAATACGCAGTAACCACAACTCGACAAGGCAAAGCAACTATGTACCACCCAAATCGGTCGGCTCAGTTTTATCAGGGATAAGAAAGGAAACCTAATGCCAATATCCAACAGTACTGTACTCGGTTTATAACTTTGATGGACAACCATACATGTTGTCGTACCCTAACGCATAACTTGTGCCGCATCGTTTTCCTTGTTTGTTGTGTAACTATTGTGTCCTTGACTCACAATCCGAGTATATCCGAGCATGACTTTCATTTTTTGCAATAATTAGTGTACCGCTTGAAGACTGGCGTGAAGATGATTGTATCCACAGATTGGGTTGCTACAGGGGAATCTGCACATCTTGAGGACATTTGCCCGGGGTGAGATATGATTCGCCATTACCTGATTGCAGCAGAGTTGATCACGTATCTTCTCCTGTTCTGTTGTGTGCTTAGGGAATTGTAGCGAAGATTCAAAGTTACCAGGGTAAAGGATTCGAAGCCTACTCTGACAGAGTTGCGAGGGAGTTGGACTTCGGCTTCCAGCTGCGGCACCCGAATATCGTCGCCTGTCTCGGGGCAATGCAGACTGAGACATGGGCCATTCTGTTTTTGGAGCGTGTAGATGGTGTGAGCCTCGGAACCTACATGTCACGTGGTGCAATCTTCTCGGAACAACGGCTGAGGGGTGTTCTAAGTCAGGCACTTCATGCTCTGCACTACCTGCAAACTGCACGGGTTTTGCACTTGTGAGTTCCCTTTACGGCCGTAGCGCTGTATTGAAATACTACACGCAGGCCGCTTGAAATTGCAATTCTTTTCACCTGTCACTGAATATGAATACGTGTACTTACCGAACAGAAATGACATCTTTTTGCAGATTTTCCATTCCCTGAACTTGTGAAGATTTTTAGTGCTGTGGCATGACGTCATCGTTTTGTGTAAGATTTTCGGATCACGTGCGCGAGGGGACAATCGATTTGTCTTTCTGTCAGGATTGTGACTAATTCTCACTTTTTGACTGCGTTTTATCTACTGAACACACATACATGAAGTTTCAATGACGCTTCTACGCACATTGAAAACACCACTGTCGTGCTCTGTGGGCGACCACACACATTTTCCGCCAATGTAAGAGGTCCTTCGGACTACTGAACTATCTTCGTTTCTGATTCAACAACTCAACCTTCTCTAATGACCGAAACAGTTGTAAGAAGAAATTTTACTTCTAAAAGTACACCGAAGGAACCTCTTGTTATTGTGGGAAGTGTGTATGTGTGTAGTCGGCCATGGGATGCAACGGGGATGCTGCTTCTGTAATCAATGCACACAGAATTATATTGTCAAAGGCCAAGTGCTGATAATTACCTTCTTCCCAACAGTGGGGTTCAGTTTCAAAAGAATTGTGTCCAGGTGTACAATTGATCTTTTGTGTGTTCATATCGCTACAGAGATCTCAAGGAGAGCAACATTATGGTTTCACACAGCGGCGAGACCAAGCTGATCGACTTCGGAGTAGCGCGCCAGATTCCAGCAGGCCAGGACAAAATAGAGTACATCAGGCAAAATATGTACTGCCATCCGCCGGAGATGAACGATGCGGACATGGGTGGTGTGGATCACAAGTCCATTATCTTCTTCTTGGGCGCAATGCTCTACCGATTGGCGGCACATCGATTGGCGCCAGATGCTCAACCATTCGGCAAAACCACTGGTCTGACATGGCAGGAGCAAAATTCGGCCATGATGAATAGCTTCGACGACAAAGCCCAAGGTTTTATATTCCTGTCCTTTGGACTTCAAGCCCTAATCAGAGACATGCTTGCATTCTGTCCCGACCTAAGGCCGTGCGCAGAGCAAGCGTTGCACTACCCATGGTTCAAGGTGGCGGATTATTGCCAGGAGCCTCAGTTGAGGGTTTACAGGAAGCAAGAACGCCCCAGTTGCATCAAAGAGTTAGTGCCCCACGTCTCAGCAGCGATGTGCAGCCAGTTTGGCATCGGAGAAGTACAGCTCCTGGAGAAAGTATCGCTCAGGTACCATTGGCAATCGGTTGTATACGAGTGCAGGACTCTCAGAACCAATGACACTCAAGCGCTCTTGCCGGCCTGTTCACAGCCGTCAACAAACACAAAAGGTGCTAGCATATAATTGTATCCTTTTTCCATCATATTTAGGTTATTCAAAAATAAAATTATCGGCTCAGTTTGTTCTTATTATACGCATGTTCGCGTTGACATCACCAAGCAAGCTTGGCTAGCCTTCACATAAGCCGCCTGAAAACAAATGAGGAATAAGCAAGGCCAATGACCACACGCGTGTAACTCCAGAAATGGCAAAAGGGAAACACATGTAATAATACATTCCTAAAAAACACGAAATGTCGACTGTCTACTTCAAGAAAAAAAATGGAAACGGATGACAACAGGAATCATGACAGCTGACGGTACATAGTGGCAAAGCGACATAACACCACGTGACCAGTATACTGTACATGATAGTACAATTCTACTTATAATCTACAGTCGAGAAGAACGTAGTTGAAAACCAAACAATTTGGGTAAACCATTTTCAAGAGGTTCAAACCGACAGGAAAAAGACATTACGTGCATGACACATTGGCAGGACGAACAATGCCAACTTCAACATTCTGCAGCCGTTGCGTTGCCGGTGTTGGGGTGGCCGTGCACGTCGTCCGGCTCAGTTTATAAGAATATGAATATTTTGGAGCATATGCCACGCATAACATGGACGGACATTAGCTTTCCATTTTACCATGAGGGCAGATGCACCATACCATTTCGCATGGTACACTGATCTATTTCCATTCAAAATTGCTAGGCATCCTAACCTCATCCAATGGCCCAGGCCATTTCATGCGGCGGGGATGCGCAAATACGTGTGCAGACAGTGCCAGTGGTCTTCCACACATACCGTGGCTGCCCGTACGAGAACCGATATGACTTCAACTATTATTATGTATGTCGGTTCCATTCACTCCGCACGAATCATTCACAGCACACAGTCGTCATAAAACTCTCGAACCCAGGGTTTTTACAGTGCGATATGAAAACTGACTGACCTGAGTGGGCTCAGAATGCGCGTTTTGGACAAGCAATCATGGAGGGAACTCTCAGCCTGAGCTGGTTTTGCTCGTGGCTGCAATGCACGGGGTAGTGAACCCAGGACAGAAGCGGACCAGGCATCTCGACTTTGCGCATCTATCGTTATGCTGCTTCATTACGCGACCTGTTTTATTATTATTATTATTATTATTATTATTTGCCTCTGCTGGGATGACGACTACACCATAGCTCAGTGGTTAGAGCATCGCTGGCTACAAGCGAGGTCCCTAGTTCGAGTCCTGGTGGTGACAGTCAATTTTTTCTTCAGACTTTTCCCGTTTGTCTCTTTCCCTCAAACCAGTTAATATTTTATGACTTGGGGCTCCCCGCGTGCTAGTTTGTACTTCAAAGAAGTACGTGAAGTGTGTGGGTTACAGCAAGAGTATGTACTCTTGGTTACAGTGAGGGCTGCGTCCCACCCGCCTGTGTGGATTCACAGGAAGTGTGAGTTTCGAAGTCTGAAGAAAATGTTGAACGGCCTCTGCTGGGATAACGACTACACCATAGCTGAGTGGTTAGAGCATCGCTGGCTACAAGCGAGTGTCCCTGGTTCGAGTCCTGGTGGTGGCAGTCAATTTCTTCTTCAGACTTTTGCCGTTTGTCTCTTTCCCTCAAACCAGTTATTATTACTATTCTTCTTCTTATTATTATTACAAAAAATGTATTATCTACGCATGCATCTACGCAAGAGTCACCACCAGCCAATTAGGACATGTGTCAAAGTAATGAACGTTTTCGTTCCCTTCTTGTCAAAAAACTACAGGGAATGATGGAAATAAGCTAAAAGACTACAACTATAAGGAAAAGAAGTTCAGAAATATATCACTCCAATTATGTGTAGAAGTGACACCAAAAAAAGATGTGAAGATTTAAGAAAACAGCATGCAAATCCAATAAGTGACAAAAACGTAGTGACAAGAAAAAGAGAGAAATATCGAGAGATCACAAGAACACAAAGCTCAGGGTCTAACTTACGTATGTACAAAGCTTCCAACACGGCAAGATTTAACAAAGACCTACCACGCGACAAAACAGAGAATACATCATCGGAATACCACTCACGACAACTAGCACTGCCCCACAGGTGACACTTGATTGCCGAGGTGCCGCTTCCCTGACCCGACGACTTGGCCGTTGTCACCTCCGATCCTGCCGCTTCCGAATATCTCCCATTACGCCCTGCGTCCCTGCAATTCCGATTGCCTCGGTCGAGATCAGTGTGCTGCTCCACGTTCAGTCTGTCCTGCTTCCGTGGTCTACCTCGTTTCTTCACATTAACCGTTGTTGTCACTTCCAGTATTGGTTCTTTTGATTCGTCATCAATTCGTCTCCTCAATTGGCTTCTGGTGACTCGTCCGGAGCTCGATTGTCCAGATATCAGTTTCGGTGGTTTCCGTATCAGTCTCTTCTTCTTTTTGACTGTTGTTTGGGTTGGCTCCAGCCCTGCGCGCGACGAAAAGGAGGAGGCGTCGGCAAGCGTATCCACATCGAACTTGGACAAGTCCACCTCAGAAACAGACTGCACTGGACACTTTGTTGGACGACCACGCAGAGGTCGAGAGCCACGTGCAGCTACAGAGAAAAGATTCAACGGTACATGTTGACGAATCCGTGCGCCCAGGTGCTGAAAGGTTCTACCTACGTACCAATTTTCACAATTTCGGCACTGAAAGAAACGCCTTCTCACTCCAACAGCTTTCCAACTTGGAAGGTTCTAAGTTATAGAAATAACACAAGGAGAGGATGCACAGCTGAGACTTTCAGCTCGTGCTTATCTAGGATGTGCTCATCTTCCCCTCCTTATGTTTTTTTTTATAACTTTGAAACAGCTCGTGCTTATCTAGGATGAGCTCATCTTCCCCTCCTTATGTTTTTTTATAACTTTGAAACTGCCATGTAGGAAGACTATTGGAGTGCGCATCCAAGATGTGCTAAAACTGTTAGCAAGCTAGTTGTAGAACGTCAGTGCCGTCGGTCAGTGTCGTGCATGGTTATCGCATGAGCTGATTGTTTAATAACTGGTGGTGTCAGTGGACAGTATAGCGTAACTTGTAGTTCCTTGGTCCTTCCTCTTTTGTGTACATTAATACTTTGCTATCCATCCGAGACAGGCAGGCATAGTGTGATCGTCTAAGATCATGATTGAGAAACAGAGGGTACCAGGTTCAAGTCCTGCTTGGAAGCAGAAGGATTTTTTCCAGCCGTGCTGCGACCCACAGTTAATTGGGAACTCGTGGCCTGGCACGAAGAAAACATGGTCATGGATGCAGTGAATGGGATTTTCGGTCTTTGACCACTTGCTGGTGAGCTGATCTACTCACCTCCCACCGCGTTAGGAGCTGTATCTGCGCCTTGATCCTTGAAGGGTGGTGGCGTTCCTACGGATGCGGAAAGCCCGGCTTCCAGCCGAGTCTCACGCGAACCGTGAAAAAAATCCATCCGAGTCCATTTCTACACACCTGATGAGCCGTCTTTATCTAAACGGCGAAACGATCGTCGTGTGAAACTGCTGCTTGTTACCGCTGCTTATTGTCCATCTAAATTGTCATACAGTAAGATCGGGCGCCGAAGAACGCAGGGGCTCGAGCGCAGCCTAGGAAAGTTCTTAAATTTTTGATTCTAGCCAGACCGTTCTTATTCACACGCGCGCGGCGAGTCGAGTGACGTCATGACGTTTGTCATGTACATGTACATGTACATGTACATGTAGTGTATTATGTAGTACTTCTAAACTAGTGGGTGTCGTAAATGGGAATGACTGTACATGTAGCAGTTACTGTTTACACGTGTACATGACATGTACTCACCTCCCATACATGTACAATGTAGATCTACGTACAATGTAGATCTAGTGTTCTTAAATCTGATAATTCTAGCCTGGACTGTTCTTAAATTTTGCCGGTTTTCCAGCCTGGGTGTTCTTCGGCGAGGTGTTCTTCGGCGCCCGATCTTACTGTAGTCGAAGTACACTGCTGTTGTACTGAGGCTCGAGCCGGGCCGTGCGAAAAGGGCCGTAACACGCACTTGAAAGTTGACAGGTCGATTACGTCATAGTTCACATACACCACAGTATTCGCGCGCTCGATCGCAACGCGAGTATGGTAAGCGCTAGGCTCTCCAGGATAGCACAGTGCCCAAGGTCCCAGCTCTACGTGGGTGTTTCCCTTTTTCAAATCAGCCAATGTACGGCTGAGATCGAAAAAATTTGCGTCGCGCTTCGGGGAGCGAGCTGCGCTAGTTTGGAAATTTCTCCAGTGCGATTTTTCCATCGCTGTTCTTGTTTTGCTATTCTTCCGCCGAGATGAGTATCTATCGACATTTCACTGTTGACGAAGCACTGAGCCTGGTCCTCACCGCCAGTGAGGATCAGTATCTCGCGCCCAGCGCTGAATCTGAATCCAATGCCGACACTAGCGCGAGTGATGACGATTCTGACGGAGAAGATTTTCGAGTGTCACGATCAGCTGTTCCACTTTCCGCTGCTGTCGTTGGTGTCTCCACCAGCCTTTATGGTGACGTTCCAGATGGCTCAGAACCCTGTGATGCGCCAGGATTGCCCAGTGAGGATGACGGTGAGAGAGCGATCGCTTCAGTACTGGGAAGGTGATGTGGACACGGACACAGCCGTCCATGAGTTTGTTCTGAACGCTGCTGTTGCTTTTCCGGTTCAAGAAAATCAAGAACCAGCCGGGGAACAGGCTGCTGCTGCTACCCCTATGCAACAGGTTGATGGCGCTGCTGAGGGACAGGCTGCTGCTGCTGCTGCTCAGGTGCATGTTGCTGATGCTGGTGAGGGACAGGCTGCTGATGCATTGCGCGAAATCACGCGACACCTGTACATTTTCGATCTGCGGGATGAAGATGACGACGTCCATGCATCAGGTATCAGGGGGTAGTAAGATACTGGTATATTGCTACTCCACGCCTCAAATCGTGCTGTCAAGCGTATGCGGGGGAGTGTAGCATGCCATCCCTTACACTTTCCAGCTCAGGGTTACCCTCGCTACCAATGGACGAAATTTCAGGGTCACAGCTTGCGCAACGGCTTTGTCCTGTGCGAATGGCCACTCGACATACTCAGCACAAATTTTCTATTGCATGCATGCACAAAATGTTCAACTTTCGTATTTTTGGCGACTTTACCACCGTCGTGGAGGCTGGTTGGTGAGGAGCAGGTAGCCATCCCTTGTGGAATCAAACACATGGTTCCACAGTGTGGCTGATTCCGCGAGAGCCAGGTCCATACGAGGAACATTCGCTTTGTCTTTTGCCATCGAAGTAAGTCACTTTTCTTGTTCTCAGTGTTTTTTACGTTCAACGTTTCTGAGATTTTTGAATTATTCACTTTTCATTCTTTCATACTTTATTTCTTCATGTTCACTGCCTCACTTGCCTTCTGATCTGGAGAATGTGACGGAGGTGACTGTTGGTTACTGCCTGGTATAACGGTTGTCGTGCTGTTGCTGTATTTCCGTCCTGCTCGCGACGTTGTAGATCACAAACAATTTGAAATCACATGAATTGTACTTACCGTCATGCGTGCGGTATTAGGAAACACTGTGCAGATTAGATCGTCGCAATGTATCTATATGTGTGTCTGGTCATCCTGTGCAATGCAAGAACTCCAACTAGACGCATTCGTCCTCGGCCCTGTTGATCGATTGTCCACTCGTCTTTCCTTGAAGAACGATCGATCAAAAAAATCGAGCTCGAGGACTTTTTGCAAAAAAACGGCTGAAAAAAGGAAGAAAAAAGGGTGCTCAGAATGAGATTCGAGTACACAACCATGGTCCCAGCAGTTTATGTGGATGTCGCTCATAGATGCGCGATTTCGCGCAATGCAGCAGCAGCAGCAGCTGACACTCCAACGAGGTCCTGCGGCTGCACCAAAAACTGCCTCAGCAAGTTCCCATCCAGTGAAGTGGACGATTTCCAACTTACGATGAGAGGACTAGAAAAAGCAGAAAAGGATATGCTGTTGATGGGAGTACTGTTGTCGGCGGAGTACCCACGCTCCGACGCTCAGCGAGGAAAGAGAAGACGTGCAGCATTTGATTATTCGTTCCGCGGAGAGGTTGTATGCGCCGGGGCATTCAGGCAAATCTATGACGTGTCGCAGAGAGTATTGAAAAATATACTCAACCACCTGAAAAACTGCGGACCTGTGCCACGCATCAACCGTAACACGGGACGGCGGCCGCACAATGCCCTGACGTTCAATGTTGTGAAAGTGTGTGCCGACTTTCTAAAGCAGTATGCAGAGGAATTCGGCTTACCTTTCCCAGCTCCTCTTCATGAGAGGGCTGATCGACCACCCATCTTCCTCCCCTCAAGCCAGTCAAAAAAGTATGTGCACAAGTTGTATGTGGCGGCATGCTCAGAGCAGAATGTGCAAGCTGTCAAGAAGACAGCATTCAACGACATTTGGAAGGCTCTGTACCCACACCTAAAGTTTATGACTGCACGGACAGATGTATGCAGCAGCTGTGAGTTGCTCCGCCGTGCTGTTTCGGCGGCTGTGACGGAACAGGAGAAAACAACCGATTTGCAGGAATTTACAGCACACATGCACAAAACGCAACGAGAGAGATACCAATATCAGCAAGCGTCAAGGGATGCCAACGCTGAGCTCAAGGATGTCCAACCTAGCTACCAACCACCATACGCACCATGCTCACGACAACTTAGTACTCACAAAGTCTCACTATACGTTCGACTTCGCTCAGCAAGTTACGTTGCCTCATATGGCGCGGCAACCCGGTCCTCTCTACTTCAAGACGCCATGTAAGGTCCAGCTATGGGGTGTGTGCAGTGAAGGTATGCCACTCCAGATGAACTACCTGCTTGATGAAACAGAAACAATCGGTCCAAATGGTACACGCAGTCATGGTGCCAACTCAGTTGTGAGCCTGTTACATCGCTTCCTTCACATGTACGGCCATGGTGAGCAACAATGTGTCCTCCGTGCAGACAACTGTGCAGGGCAAAACAAGAACCGCACAATGCTGTCCTATATCGCATGGAGGACCATTGTGGGTCTGCACAAGAAGATCCTGCTTTCATTCATGATTGCTGGCCATACACGTTGCTTGGTGGACGGTTGCATCGGGCTCCTCAAACAGCGATATAGGAAGAGTGATACCTACACCCTACCCCAGCTATCAGAAGTAGTCAACAGCTCGGCTGTCTGCAATGCTGCCCACAGTGGAGGTGTACCGTGGTATAAATGGGACGAATTTTTCGACCAGCACTTCAGCAAAGTCCCCGGTATTTCGAAGTACCACCACTTCCTGTTTGATGCCGACAAGCCGGGAGTTGTCACTGCATCCGTTCTCGTGGACTCCGAGCAAACTGCTGTCAACATCCTCAAGTGCGATCCCGGCACTCTGTCGCAGACAATACTGCCGTCTGCCATTCCTCTTGGTGGCATAAGTGATGACCGGGCGCAGTACTTGTACAAGGAGATCCGTCCGTTTGTTGCTGACCCGTACAAGGGCGACCTCTGCCCACAGCCCGTACCTGCAGAAGCCCAGATGTCGGATTGACTTACACAGGAATCTGCATGACTCTTGAGGAACAAACAGGGACATAACAAGCTTTTAATTCACTGAATGCCATGGTTTTTTTTTTAAAATTTAGCTGAGTTATTCTTGCCATTACGAACCGCTGTCAAATAATCTAGTTTCCATTAATTTTTCAGCGGTTTACTCAGAAATTACCTTGAAACGCAGTTACAAAAATCACTATAACTCTGGTTTGTATTGACATTTTTTGGAACGGTTTTTTGCACAGCAATCCTGACAGCTTCAGCTATAATATTGGACACTAAACTCATTTTGACAAAAATCATCATTAGGGCCCTTTTCGCGTGGCCAGGAAAAAAATCCATCCGAGTCCATTTCTACACACCTGATGAGCCGTCTTTGTCTATACGGCGAAACGATCGTCGTGTGAAACTGCTGCTTGTTACCACTGCTTATTGTCCATCTAAATTCTCATAGTCGAAGTACATTGCTGTTGTACTGAGCCGTTCGGGTTTTCATGATTCTTGTTCGCATAGCTTCCCCTTTTATTGATCTTCTCATCTGTTGAGCCACACAAGTTGTATGGAGTATTGCTTTGCCTTCTTGAATCGTGTTTTCACCGTATTGTCCAATGGTCTTGCCAGTATCATCATCGACATGCATGAACATCTGCCATCCTCCTCATCTTAGTTGCGCTCACCTTCCCCTCCTTATGTTATTTCTCTAACTTAGAACATTCCAAGCTGGAACGCTGCTGGAGTGCGCATACAAGATATGCTAGAGCTGTTAGCCAGGTAGGTGTAGAACGTCAGTGCCGTCTGTCAGTGCCGGTGCAATGCTATCATACGAGCTGATTGTCTAGTAACTGGTGGGGTTAGTGGACAATATAGGGTAAATGGAGCTCCTTGGTCATTTCTCTTTTGAATAAATTAATCCTTGGTTCTCCATCCGATTCAATTCTAGTTAAGGCCATGAATAAAACGGGCAATGGCTACAATGTCTATGCTGAAGACATTGCTGCGAGAGTGCGACACTGAACAAGCATCGACGCTTGCCGAGGTTCAATGCAGACGAACTTCTGAGCGATTACCTGCTTGGAGCTGCTGATGGCTGCTCCTTCAAAGCTTACGTGGCCCAGTGGGACCACCTTTGATATGATAAAATGAAGGCCGTCAGCACCTAAGTGTCCTTCGCGCCCTGGATTATATGCAGGCCAGTACAGCTGTATGTCTACTCAATCTGCGGACAGCATGTGCTGTTTCGTTTTTTGTGAACTCATCAGCGCAGCACAGAGAAGATGGGGCCGAACCTGGAAGCAATGAAAATACAATTTCCTAAGCCAGATTTGAATCAGGCCCGTACGTACATGCACCTTGCCAGATCAGAGTGCTCAAACTATGACGTAGATTGTAACCATCGTTACCTCCTTTGCACCATGGCTGGTAGCTCGGCCTATTGAGCTCGTAGCTGTACTGATGAGGCCTTTATGGCTGAAACAGCTTGCTGTCTACAGCATTGGGTAGACTGTAAACTATTGTGAATTTTACATGAACAACTAAGATGGTGAGCCAAAGAAATAAATTTTAACATGGAAATTGTGGGCACAAGGTTTGCGATCGAGTCCACCAACTAATCCAGATTTTGAACAGTCAGACGTTCGACCTTGTGCTCGGCTCGATGGCGCTCGCCTTGCCAACTTTAGAATTATCGCCAATATCCAAGAACTTCTAAGTTGGAAGGCCTTTGGTTAGCGCTATCGACCAGTGCTATGGCTGACTTTCATGGCGTGAAATGTCTCAGTACTTCTTATCACTTTTTTCCTAGATTGTGCACGTTTGCCTGTTAAACATCTTGTTTTATAATAGTTGGTTGAATCGATCGCAACTTGTGCCCGAAATTGTAAATAGTTGCATATAACTAATCCAGCGCCAGGGTGGCTGCTTTTTCGAAGTTTACATGTACCAGTGGAGCGTTCTTAGAGAGGATACACTGGAGGGCGTCATTAACCAAGCCGTGCTTTACATGCACATCGCTAGGGTTTTCATTCGAAAGCGTGCGATGGGTAGAGTTGACGTGGGTCAGCCACCCAGCCACAGTTCTAGTGATTCACATGCATGGCAGGAAGCATTGAGAAAATGTAATGTTCAGCGCTGTAACACGTCTGATCTTTGGCCATCAGAATGTGTTAAGACAGGCCGAAGATACCGAATGCAGGGCGATGATATGACATACGGAATGAAACCGACCGGTACCATGTGTAAGCGATATTGATTTTAGTGCATAGGCAGTTAAGTCTGTATCGTGTGTACTTGACGTATTGCAAAGTTGTACATACACTACTAGCAAGGACGAAAAAGCACTGCACAAGTAGGCGAGCACCTACTCTTAGCTTTTGCGGATTTGGATACAATTCAAAACTGACCTTTTCCCAATGGTGAACATTGCTCAGTTGTATCATTTATCAGCAAATCGTGACAACGATTCCTTGCGTTTACTTTTATACATCATCGTCTCATTTCCCTTTACCTGGCAAAAATGGCTGTCCAAGTGTGGCCAAGGCCGATCGATGAGGCGGTCTTTGGACCCCGGGTTCAATATGTATCCGCCACTAAGACTTTGTGCGATGTCGTCCACTTTGGCTCTGGACTAGGCAGGGGGAGGTTTGGTGCCGTCCGTGAGGTCACTATGCCTATGGTTGAACAAAAAGTAAGTCATTTTCTCCCAATGGACTCGTTATGTTGATAATTTCGAAGGATTCACTAATAATAATAATGTTGCGCTTTGTTCAACTCGGATGGTGAGCCAATCAAATTATGGTCAAAAATAGGAGAAGAACAAAATGTTATGAGTTATTACTAACTGTCCACCAACGTGACCAAATCTTAGACAGTCAGGTGTGAGGTCGCCTAATGTCTCCATGCTCGTCAGTTTTGTGCCATTTTGTCACACTCGCTGACTGTATAAGATCTGGTTAAGTTGTTGGACAGTATGTTGTAGCTCGTAACATTTTATGCTACTCATTTGTTGCTCTTTGCAATAACAATAATTATAATGAATAAGCGACAATGGAAGAAATATGACAATACAGTGAGTATCGTTTATAAAGTGACCGGGTGTAACGATATACCGGCTATAATGATCGAACTCGCCAAAATCAAAATCAAATCACAAAAAAATACAGCTAAAATATCACTATACATACTATTATCGGCTATACCGATATATCGCTTATTGTGATGGGCTTCAGGAAGCAAACCATATCAAATGCACAGGAAAATATCGTATATACTGATCAAGAGTGATGATCACAAAACAATTGTTCTTCAAATTTAGTTCATTTCTTCCAAAACTGCCTGAAAAGAGAAAAAAAAAAAAAAAAAAAAAACGCCAGACCCACCAGGACTCCTCGGATCCTTTGAATTTGAAGTTCTCCCAATCCTTTCCAAATTTAATCACTTTCTTTCACCTCTGGTAGTTTCCAGGAACTGACCGTGGTTGGTCCCCTGGGGGAGGGAAAAAGACCCAAGTGCCATCAGTATGTGTGGCACGTGTTGTGAGCTGCCTTTGGAGTGAAAAACTTGTCAGCGCCTTCTAGGTTCAGCCTGGTCCCATAGCTCAGTGGTTAGAGCATTGCTCATGACAACAGGGTCCCAGGTTCGAGTCCTGGTGGGTCTGGCGTTTTTTTTCTCTTTTCAGGCAGTTCACTTCCCCGATTGATCCTTTGAATAATAATAATAATAATAATAATAATAATAATAATGACAGTGTAACAGTGGTAAAATTATTACAGGGTGCGACAGAGCTCTCGGCCATTGAAAAAAATGTTGAGTCCCCTCCACCATTACACTGCGCTCTTTAGCCGATTAGACTAGGAGTCTATCAATATCGTCTACGGAAGTGTCCTCGCAAAGGTGATTGTTGCGTGTAGGAGGGTCTAGTCGGCTAAAGAGTGCAGTGTAATGGTGGAGGTGACTCAACAGTGGTAAAATTCATTGCTTTTTACCGTTAGCGAACTCACTCATACTGCCGCGGGACAGAGGTGTCTCGTCCTGTGTAGACTCATCAGTGCAGCACAGTGAAAATCATCCTGAATCTGATAGCAATGAAAAACATAGTTTCCGAAGCCAGATTTAAACCAGACCCGAACGTACCTTGTCTGAGTGCTCAAACTGACAAGGCAATAAAATAACGAGCTTGCTATAGACGAAGAGTCGTACGCTGTAGCCGTGTGCCCCAATAACTTTCTGGGCATGTTTAAATGTGGTTTTATGCTTTGTTATTCCCGCAGGGACTTAAACGAAGACAATATCATTGTCTCAGTAGATGGTCATGCCAAAGTGATAGACTTCGGAATGGCTCGTCAGATTCCACCAGGGCAGGACAAGGTGCCATTCATCCGCGCCGATATGTACACCCATCCCCCGGAGATGAACGATCCGACCATGGGTGGCGTAGATCACAAGACCGTCATGTTCTTTCTGGGCGGTATGATCTACCGTGTCGCCGTGCAGGACTATCCATTCGCCATAGATTTCCCGCGATTTAGCATAAGTCAGCAGAATAGCGCAATAGTGCGTGGCATTAATATCGCAGGAAGTCAATACTCGGAACTATCGCCGAATCTGAAGTTGCTGCTTCGAGAGTTGCTGCTGTACAGGCCACAAGATCGGCCAACGGCAGTGCAGGCCATGACGCATTCCTGGTTCACCGACGCGCCGGATTTCGTCGAGCCCAAGCTGCAGAGTTACGTTGATAAACCGCCGCCGGTACACATTCACGACATGCCGGCACCCATATGGGTACACATGTGCCAACAGCTGCAAATCCGACCGGCAGAGCTGCTGGAGAATATCCAGCAGAAGTTCCACTGGCGGGCTATCCTATACGAGTATCTTACTCTCTACAGGAGGAACCCTCCAAGGCCTCCAAGGCCTTTAGCCGTAAAGCGGCGAAAGCGGCAAGCTTTGCTACCAACAATTCATGAAGAAGACCCAGCAGATGAGCAGGCAGAAGAGTAGCATTTAGTGATACAATGACATTCTATACGGAATATATAATGACATTCTATACATAACATTATTATAATTTCTGGAGGAGTAAACTTCTTAAATCAAAATATTTTTGTTCCAAATGCAAACTGTATTCTGTGAAGAAAAAAAAGCCGCTATCAGTACAAACTAGGGGTGAAAGTTGGCACTGAGATCCCGAGTTCGAGTACTCCAATTTTCTCCGATCGAATATTCAAGTATTCGAGTATTCTTTATCGCCTAAAAATTGCACACCAAGGCCTGAAAATCACATGATACAACCCCGATCGAAGCGAGTAGCAGTCATTTTTCTCGGGTATATTGGTTGGTGGGTCATTTGGGCTCTCTCTACTCGTGAACAAATGTTCACCACACAGTCTGCACATCAATATCTGGCGACTGCTGCTCTGACACTGCAGATATCTGTGGTAAATGCATGTACCATGTATGAACGATTACTCTGATTTATTCCGAGTACGATTATTTTTGAAAAAACCGAGCGAGTACTCGAGTATTCGGTATAATTGTTTCAGCCCTAGTACTAACATTATCTGGATACTGCTCACTCTAATTCAGGACGTTTTCAAGGCCTGTTGCAAGAAAACAAGTCAAATAAGCCGCACCACGTAAATGAAAGCCCTGCCTTGTCATTAATCATTTGCGCTAGTTTGGATTTGCATGCAAGGACATCATGCCGGGTGAGAAGCAGGTGGAAGCATGCGCGCCCGTATTGAACCGAACGCGACTATGCTACATCTTGAATTCGAATAAAGCTGTGTGGATTCCGGCTAGCGCCAGACGCCATTAAAATTGTGTCTTTCGTATAGTAGAAAGGAAAAGGACATATGGAAACGAGTTAACCCTTTGAAAGCCGATTGAAAATTTCAAAATTCTGCATATTTTCATGTTCTTTGGGACGTAACTTCAGTTCTACTCACTCAATCTTCACAATCTTGGGCTTCCTGGAAATGAAATGCGTGCACTTTCGTCCTGCTCCAGCATTTTCATTTTTCGAGTAACTCTCCACCACTGTAACTAGATACTATATACAGTCAGAAAGTGCAACAACTAGGCACAAAACTGACAGAGTACTGAGACATTCGACGTCCTGAAATCTAACTTCAACACATTTCCGTAGCGCTAACCGACAGCCTTCCCACTTGGAAGGTTCAAGGTTATGGAAAGACCAAAGAGGGGAAGGCAAGCGCAACGAAAACGAGCACAAGCTACAGTCCCAACGGAACAAAAAGAATGTCGATTGTCAAGGGACGATGACGAGACCAGTAGGCGATTTGACAAAGCGGTCTAACTACAATTCGGAGCAGCAAAGCAGCACACCACTCAACTTGGGTGGGTCGATTGTCAAGGGACGATGACGAGACCAGTAGGCGATTTGACAAAGCGGTCTAACTACAATTCGGAGCAGCAAAGCAGCACACCACTCAACTTGGGTGGGTCAAAAATATCAAAGATAAGTTAAGTGGGGGGAACCTTTGCGAGAACGAATTGTACAAGCCGAAATCTAAAATCCTACAGTACTCCTCATGCATGACATTGTGATGGACTAGTTGACTACAAAACAAGTTGTTTCACACGACGTACGTTTCGCCGTATGGTTCGTGACGGCTCATCAGGTGTGCAATTTGAAATTCGGGTAGTGAGCCAATAATAAAAGTAGAAAGGAAAAGGACATAATAATGGAAACGAGTTAAGAGTAACTCTCCACCACTGTAAATAGTGCAACAACTAGGCATAGTGCCACGGTGTGCGAGCCACCCAGGAGCCAAACAAATGCATTTACAATTTTTCACATTTTCGTGCCCATTCTGTCCGTGCGCGGGACCCAAACCTAAACCAAGTCTAGAAGCAGCCATGGGTGACGCGGGAGGGCCCCTCAACGAGGCTCTGGAATCTGTTACAGCGGAACGAGTGGGCGTTCTCTCACAGACCCACACAGACCCAAGTCAATTTTTGATTTTTTTAGGTTTAGCACGTGCTACGAGGTCGTACCTTTGATACAACATCCAGTGCTGGGACCTCCACAACAAGCCATTTCCACAGCGCTGCACACCAAATCCAGGATACCCTCAGAAACCGGCTAAAACTATGCAGCCGTTGCGTTGCCGGTGTTGGGGTGGCCGTGCACGTCGTCCGGCTCAGTTTATAAGATTATGACTATTTTGGAGTATATGCCATGCATAACATGGACGGACATTAGCTTTCCATTTTACCATGAGGGCAGATGCACCATACCATTTCGCATGGTACACTATTCTATTTCCATTCAAAATTGCTAGGCATCCTAACTTCATCCCATGGCCCAGGCCGTTTCAGGCGGCGGGGTGCGCAAATACGTATGCAGAGTGGCGTCTTGAAGTAGAGAGGACCGGGTTGCCGCGCCATATGAGGCAACGTAACTTGCTGAGCGAAGTCGAACGTATAGTGAGACTTCGTAAGTTGTTGTGAGCATGGTGCGTATGGTGGTTGGTAGCTAGGTTGGACATCCTTGAGCTCAGCGCTGGCATCCCTTGAAGCTTGCTGATATTGGTATCTCTCTCGTTGCGCTTTGTGCATGTGTGCTGTAAATTCCTGCAAATCGGTTGTTTTCTCCTGTTCCGTCACAGCCGCCGAAACAGCACGGCGGAGCAACTCACAGCTGCTGCATACATCTGTCCGTGCAGTCATAAACTTTAGGTGTGGGTACATCACCTTCCAAATGTCGTTGAATGCTGTCTTCTTGACAGCTTGCACATTCTGCTTTGAGCATGCCGCCACATACAACTTGTGCACATCCTTTTTTAACTGGCTTGAGGGGAGGAAGATGGGTGGTCGATCAGCCCTCCCATGAAGAGGAGCTGGGAAAGGTAAGCCGAATTCCTCTGCATACTGCTTTAGAAAGTCGGCACACACTTTCACAACATTAAACGTCAGGGCATTGTGGGGCCGACGTCCCGTGTTACGGTTGATGCGTGGCACAGGTCCGCAGTTTTTCAGGTGGTTTAGTACTTCAAAGTATATTTTTCAATACTCTCTGCGACACGTCATAGATTTGCCTGAATGCCCCGGCGCATACAACCTCTCCGCGGAACGAATAATCAAATGCTGCACGTCTTCTCTTTCCTCGCTGAGCGTCGGAGCGTGGGTACTCCGCCGACAACAGTACTCCCATCAACAGCATATCCTTTTCTGCTTTTTCTAGTCCTCTCATCGTAAGTTGGAAATCGTCCACTTCACTGGATGGGAACTTGCTGAGGTCCAGGTCCAGCTATGGGGTGTGTGCAGTGAAGGTATGCCACTCCAGATGAACTACCTGCTTGATGAAACAGACACAATCGGTCCGAATGGTACACGCAGTCATGGTGCCAACTCAGTTGTGAGCCTGTTACATCACGTCTTTCACATGTACGGCCATGGTGAGCAACAATGTGTCCTCCGTGCAGACAACTGTGCAGGGCAAAACAAGAACCGCACAGTGCTGTCCTATATCGCATGGAGGACCATTGTGGGTCTGCACAAGAAGATCCTGCTTTCATTCATGATTGCTGGCCATACACGTTGCTTGGTGGACGGTTGCTTCGGGCTCCTCAAACAGCGATATGGGAAGAGTGACACCTACACCCTACCCCAGCTATCAGAAGTAGTCAACAGCTCGGCTGTCTGCAATGCTGCCCACAGTGGAGGTGTACCGTGGTATAAATGGGACGAATTTTTCGACCAGCACTTCAGCAAAGTCCCCGGTATTTCGAAGTACCACCACTTCCTGTTTGATGCCGACAAGCCGGGAGTTGTCACTGCATCCGTTCTCGTGGACTCCGAGGAAACTGCTGTCAACATCCTCAAGTGCGATCCCGGCACTCTGTCGCAGACAATACTGCCGTCTGCCATTCCTCTTGGTGGCATAAGTGATGACCGGGCGCAGTACTTGTACAAGGAGATCCGTCCGTTTGTTGCTGACCCGTACAAGGGCGACCTCTGCCCACAGCCCGTACCTGCAGAAGCCCAGATGTCGGATTGACTTACACAGGAATCTGCATGACTCTTGAGGAACAAACAGGGACATAAGAAGCTTATGATTCACTGAATGCCATGGTTTTTTTAAAATTTAGCTGAGTTATTCTTGCCATTACGAACCGCTGTCAAATAATCTAGTTCCCATTAATTTATCAGCGGTTTACTCAGAAATTACCTTGAAACGCAGTTACAAAAATCACTATAACTCTGGTTTGTATTGACATTTTTTGGAACGGTTTTTTGCACAGCAATCCTGACAGCTTCAGCTATAATATTGGACACTGAACTCATTTTGACAAAAATCATCATTAGGGCCCTTTTCGCGTGGCCAGGAAAAAAATCCATCCGAGTCCATTTCTACACACCTGATGAGCCGTCTTTGTCTATACGGCGAAACGATCGTCGTGTGAAACTGCTGCTTGTTACCGCTGCTTATTGTCCATCTAAATTGTCATAGTCGAAGTACATTGCTGTTGTACTGAGCCGTTCGGGTTTTCATGATTCTTGTTCGCATAGCTTCCCCTTTTATTGATCTTCTCATCTGTTGAGCCACACAAGTTGTATGGAGTATTGCTTTGCCTTCTTGAATCGTGTTTTCACCGTATTGTCCAATGGTCTTGCCAGTATCATCATCGACATGCATGAACATCTGCCATCCTCCTCATCTTAGTTGCGCTCACCTTCCCCTCCTTATGTTATTTCTCTAACTTAGAACATTCCAAGCTGGAACGCTGCTGGAGTGCGCATACAAGATATGCTAGAGCTGTTAGCCAGGTAGGTGTAGAACGTCAGTGCCGTCTGTCAGTGCCGGTGCAATGCTATCATACGAGCTGATTGTCTAGTAACTGGTGGGGTTAGTGGACAATATAGGGTAAATGGAGCTCCTTGGTCATTTCTCTTTTGAATAAATTAATCCTTGGTTCTCCATCCGATTCAATTCTAGTTAAGGCCATGAATAAAACGGGCAATGGCTACAATGTCTATGCTGAAGACATTGCTGCGAGAGTGCGACACTGAACAAGCATCGACGCTTGCCGAGGTTCAATGCAGACGAACTTCTGAGCGATTACCTGCTTGGAGCTGCTGATGGCTGCTCCTTCAAAGTTTACGTGGCCCAGTGGGACCACCTTTGATATGATAAAATGAAGGCCGTCAGCACCTAAGTGTCCTTCGCGCCCTGGATTATATGCAGGCCAGTACAGCTGTATGTCTACTCAATCTGCGGACAGCATGTGCTGTTTCGTTTTTTGTGAACTCATCAGCGCAGCACAGAGAAGATGGGGCCGAACCTGGAAGCAATGAAAATACAATTTCCTAAGCCAGATTTGAATCAGGCCCGTACGTACATGCACCTTGCCAGATCAGAGTGCTCAAACTATGACGTAGATTGTAACCATCGTAACCTCCTTTGCACCATGGCTGGTAGCTCGGCCTATTGAGCTCGTAGCTGTACTGATGAGGCCTTTATGGCTGAAACAGCTTGCTGTCTACAGCATTGGGTAGACTGTAAACTATTGTGAATTTTACATGAACAACTAAGATGGTGAGCCAAAGAAATAAATTTTAACATGGAAATTGTGGGCACAAGGTTTGTGATCGAGTCCACCAACTAATCCAGATTTTGAACAGTCAGACGTTCGACCTTGTGCTCGGCTCGATGGCGCTCGCCTTGCCAACTTTAGAATTATCGCCAATATCCAAGAACTTCTAAGTTGGAAGGCCTTTGGTTAGCGCTATCGACCAGTGCTATGGCTGACTTTCATGCCGTGAAATGTCTCAGTACTTCTTATCACTTTTTTCCTAGATTGTGCACGTTTGCCTGTTAAACATCTTGTTTTATAATAGTTGGTTGAATCGATCGCAACTTGTGCCCGAAATTGTAAATAGTTGCATATAACTAATCCAGCGCCAGGGTGGCTGCTTTTTCGAAGTTTACATGTACCAGTGGAGCGTTCTTAGAGAGGATACACTGGAGGGCGTCATTAACCAAGCCGTGCTTTACATGCACATCGCTAGGGTTTTCATTCGAAAGCGTGCGATGGGTAGAGTTGACGTGGGTCAGCCACCCAGCCACAGTTCTAGTGATTCACATGCATGGCAGGAAGCATTGAGAAAATGTAATGTTCAGCGCTGTAACACGTCTGATCTTTGGCCATCAGAATGTGTTAAGACAGGCCGAAGATACCGAATGCAGGGCGATGATATGACATACGGAATGAAACCGACCGGTACCATGTGTAAGCGATATTGATTTTAGTGCATAGGCAGTTAAGTCTGTATCGTGTGTACTTGACGTATCGCAAAGTTGTACATACACTACTAGCAAGGACGAAAAAGCACTGCACAAGTAGGCGAGCACCTACTCTTAGCTTTTGCGGATTTGGATACAATTCAAAACTGACCTTTTCCCAATGGTGGACATTGCTCAGTTGTGTCATTTATCAGCAAATCGTGACAACGATTCCTTGCGTTTACTTTTATACATCATCGTCTCATTTCCCTTTACCTGGCAAAAATGGCTGTCCAAGTGTGGCCAAGGCCGATCGATGAGGCGGTCTTTGGACCCCGGGTTCAATATGTATCCGCCACTAAGACTTTGTGCGATGTCGTCCACTTTGGCTCTGGACTAGGCAGGGGGAGGTTTGGTGCCGTCCGTGAGGTCACTATGCCTATGGTTGAACAAAAAGTAAGTCATTTTCTCCCAATGGACTCGTTATGTTGATAATTTCGAAGGATTCACTAATAATAATAATGTTGCGCTTTGTTCAACTCGGATGGTGAGCCAATCAAATTATGGTCAAAAATAGGAGAAGAACAAAATGTTATGAGTTATTACTAACTGTCCACCAACGTGACCAAATCTTAGACAGTCAGGTGTGAGGTCGCCGAATGTCTCCATGCTCGTCAGTTTTGTGCCATTTTGTCACACTCGCTGACTGTATAAGATCTGGTTAAGTTGTTGGACAGTATGTTGTAGCTCGTAACATTTTATGCTACTCCTTTGTTGCTCTTTGCAATAACAATAATTATAATGAATAAGCGACAATGGAAGAAATATGACAATACAGTGAGTATCGTTTATAAAGTGACCGGGTGTAACGATATACCGGCTATAATGATCGAACTCGCCAAAATCAAAATCAAATCACAAAAAAATACAGCTAAAATATCACTATACATACTATTATCGGCTATACCGATATATCGCTTATTGTGATGGGCTTCAGGAAGCAAACCATATCAAATGCACAGGAAAATATCGTATATACTGATCAAGAGTGATGATCACAAAACAATTGTTCTTCAAATTTAGTTCATTTCTTCCAAAACTGATCCAGTGTTGCCTGGATGCATCTGGCAGCAGACGTGATTGAGAGAAAAATCTTTCCTGTATGCTGTAAGCAGCCACATGTACACGTGGCTGCTTTTCATGCTTTTTTCCGGCATGTACGCATCATTTCATGCACAGTCATGTGCCATGTGTCAGTCATACAATGCAAATCGGCTATAGTGATGCACCGGATATAGTGATAAATTATCGAAAATCAAAGGGGCACGTTATATCAACTATTTACTGTACAAAGTTGTTTGAACTAGGTTTTGTGCACTCGTCTTTAAGAAGTAATATTACTATGTGTTTTCAGAGAACCGAAAATACCAGCGGGTGTATATTACAGTTTCCTTCCCTCTTTTGTTGTGTACTTAGCTTTGTACATGCGTAAGTTAGACCACTACGTTTTTGTCACTTATTGGATTTGCATGCTGTTTTCTCATGCAGGCAATTGTAGCCAAGACTATGATCTATAGTGGGTATCCGCAGTTAGAGGAAGATGTGCTGCGGGAGTGTCAAATTGGATTGAAGTTGCGCCACCCGAACATCGTTGCTTGCTTGGGAGCCATGCAGACGGATGTCTGGGCAGTCCTGTTTCTGGAGCGCCTAGATGGCTCCTCTCTTCATGATTATATCAATCAGTGGGACGATCTCAGAGAAGATTTACTAAGGGGCGTAATTATCCAAGTCCTTCAAGCTCTGTATTATATGGAGACTGCTAAGGTTGTCCATCTGTAAGTGTAATAATAATAATAATAATAATAATAATAATTAAAAAGCTTCCGTGGAGATAAAAATGTAATCAACGCAATAAATAGAGTAAGCTGCGCACTCAGTACAAACACCATAAGCAAAACTTGTTTTCATGTATAATAAATAAGCTTGTTCCTAAACGTTTTCGTCGCCATCTCATCAGAGGATTACTGGCAAATCAACAAAAGCTCTTAACTCAATATATATACGCACAATGCAAGTAATAATTTAGACCCTAACTAGCGCGATAAAATGAGAGCTGAAAGAAACATTACACCATTCAACGATATCAGGTGACAACAAGTTTTGCTTATGGTGTTTGTACTGAGTGCGCAGCTTACTCTATTTATTGCGTTGAATAATAATAATAATAATAATAATTTGGAAAGTATTGGGAGAACTTCAAATTCAAAGGATCAATCGGGGAAGTGAACTGCCTGAAAAGAGAAAAAAAAACAAAACAAAAAACGCCAGACCCACCAGGACTCCTCGGATCCTTTGAATTTGAAGTTCTCCCAATCCTTTCCAAATTTAATCACTTTCTTTCACCTCTGGTAGTTTCCAGGAACTGACCGTGGTTGGTCCCCTGGGGGAGGGAGAAAGACCCAAGTGCCATCAGTATGTGTGGCACGTGTTGTGAGCTGCCTTTGGAGTGAAAAACTTGTCAGCGCCTTCTAGGTTCAGCCTGGTCCCATAGCTCAGTGGTTAGAGCATTGCTCATGACAGCAGGGTCCCAGGTTCGAGTCCTGGTGGGTCTGGCGTTTTTTTCTCTTTTCAGGCAGTTCACTTCCCCGATTGATCCTTTGAATAATAATAATAATAATAATAATAATAATAATAATGACAGTGTAACAGTGGTAAAATTATTACAGGGTGCGACAGAGCTATCGGCCATTGAAAAAAATGTTCAGTCCCCTCCACCATTTCACTGCGCTCTTTAGCCGATTAGACTAGGAGTCTATCAATATCGTCTACGGAAGTGTCCTCGCAAAGGTGATTGTTGCGTGTAGGAGGGTCTAGTCGGCTAAAGAGTGCAGTGTAATGGTGGAGGTGACTCAACAGTGGTAAAATTCATTGCTTTTTACCGTTAGCGAACTCACTCATACTGCCGCGGGACAGAGGTGTCTCGTCCTGTGTAGACTCATCAGTGCAGCACAGTGAAAATCATCCTGAATCTGATAGCAATGAAAAACATAGTTTCCGAAGCCAGATTTAAACCAGACCCGAACGTACCTTGTCTGAGTGATCAAACTGACAAGGCAATAAAATAACGAGCTTGCTATAGACGAAGAGTCGTACGCTGTAGCCGTGTGCCCCAATAACTTTCTGGGCATGTTTAAATGTGGTTTTATGCTTTGTTCTTCCCGCAGGGACTTAAAAGAAGACAATATCATTGTCTCAGTAGATGGTCATGCCAAAGTGATAGACTTCGGAATGGCTCGTCAGATTCCACCAGGGCAGGACAAGGTGCCATTCATCCGCGCCGATATGTATACCCATCCCCCGGAGATGAACGATCCGACCATGGGTGGCGTAGATCACAAGACCGTCATGTTCTTTCTGGGCGGTATGATCTACCGTGTCGCCGTTCAGGACTATCCATTCGCCATAGATTTCCCGCGATTTAGCATAAGTCAGCAGAATAGCGCAATAGCGCGTGGCATTAATATCGCAGGAAGTCAATACTCGGAACTATCGCCGAAACTGAAGTTGCTGCTTCGAGAGTTGCTGCTGTACAGGCCACAAGATCGGCCAACGGCAGTGCAGGCCATGACGCATTCCTGGTTCACCGACGCGCCGGATTTCGTCGAGCCCAAGCTGCAGAGTTACGTTGATAAACCGCCGCCAGTACACATTCACGACATGCCGGCACCCATATGGGTAGACATGTGCCAACAGCTGCAAATCCGACCGGCAGAGCTGCTGGAGAATATCCAGCAGAAGTTCCACTGGCGGGCTATCCTATACGAGTATCTTACTCTCTACAGGAGGAACCCTCCAAGGCCTCCAAGGCGGCGAAAGCGGCGAGCTTTGCTACCAACAATTCATGAAGAAGACCCAGCAGATGAGCAGGCAGAAGAGTAGCATTTAGTGATACAATGACATTCTATACGGAATATATAATGACATTCTATACATAACATTATTATAATTTCTGGAGGAGTAAACTTCTTAAATCAAAATATTTTTGTTCCAAATGCAAACTGTATTCTGTGAAGAAAAAAAAGCCGCTGTCAGTACAAACTAGGGGTGAAAGTTGGCACTGAGATCCCGAGTTCGAGTACTCCAATTTTCTCCGATCGAATATTCAAGTATTCGAGTATTCTTTATCGCCTAAAAATTGCACACCAAGGCCTGAAAATCACATGATACAACCCCGATCGAAGCGAGTAGCAGTCATTTTTCTCGGGTATATTGGTTGGTGGGTCATTTGGGCTCTCTCTACTCGTGAACAAATGTTCACCACACAGTCTGCACATCAATATCTGGCGACTGCTGCTCTGACACTGCAGATATCTGTGGTAAATGCATGTACCATGTATGAACGATTACTCTGATTTATTCCGAGTACGATTATTTTTGAAAAAACCGAGCGAGTACTCGAGTATTCGGTATAATTGTTTCAGCCCTAGTACTAACATTATCTGGATACTGCTCAATCTATTTCAGGACGTATTCAAGGCCTGTCGCAAGAAAACAAGTCAAATAAGGCGCACCACGTAAATGAAAGCCCTGCCTTGTCATTAATCATTTGCGCTAGTTTGGATTTGCATGCAAGGACATCATTCCGCGTGAGAAGCAGGTGGAAGCATGCGCGCCCGTATTGAACCGAATGCGACTATGCTACATCTTGAATTCGAATAAAGCTGTGTGGATTCCGGCTAGCGCCAGACGCCATTAAAGTTGTGTCTTTTGTATAGTAGAAAGGAAAAGGACATATGGAAACGAGTTAACCCTTTGAAAGCCGATTGAAAATTTCAAAATTCTGCATATTTTCATGTTCTTTGGGACGTAACTTCAGTTCTACTCACTCAATCTTCACAATCTTGGGCTTCCTGGAAAGGTCTCCACGAGAGGAAGAGACTGAGGTTGCACATGATGACCAGGACGCCATATCTCTAGCGCCGGAGAGCAGCGAACTAGCGAAAACTGCTTGAAATGCGTGCACTTTCGTCCTGCTCCAGCATTTTCATTTTTCGAGTAACTCTCCACCACTGTAACTAGATACTATATACAGTCAGAAAGTGCAACAACTAGGCACAAAACCGACAGAGTACTGAGACATTCGACGTCCTGAAATCTAACTTCAACACATTTCCGTAGCGCTAACCGACAGCCTTCCCACTTGGAAGGTTCAAGGTTATGGAAAGACCAAAGAGGGGAAGGCAAGCGCAACGAAAACGAGCACAAGCTACAGTCCCAACGGAACAAAGAATGTCGATTGTCAAGGGACGATGACGAGACCAGTAGGCGATTTGATAAAGCGGTCTAACTACAATTCGGAGCAGCAAAGCAGCACACCACTCAACTTGGGTGGGTCAAAAATATCAAAGATAAGTTAAGTGGGGGGAACCTTTGCGAGAACGAATTGTACAAGCCGAAATCTAAAATCCTACAGTACTCCTCATGCATGACATTGTGATGGACTAGTTGACTACAAAACAAGTTGTTTCACACGACGTACGTTTCGCCGTATGGTTCGTGACGGCTCATCAGGTGTGCAATTTGAAATTCGGGTAGTGAGCCAATAATAAAAGTAGAAAGGAAAAGGACATAATAATGGAAACGAGTTAAGAGTAACTCTCCACCACTGTAACCAGGTAACTAGTGCAACAACTAGGCATAGTGCCACGGTGTGCGAGCCACCCAGGAGCCAAACAAATGCATTTACAATTTTTCACATTTTCGTGCCCATTCTGTCCGTGCGCGGGACCCAAACCTAAAACAAGTCTAGAAGCAGCCATGGGTGATGCGGAAGGGCCCCTCAACGAGGCTCTGGAATCTGTCACAGCGGAACGAGTGGGCGTTCTCTCACAGACCCACACAGACCCAAGTCAATTTTTGATTTTTTTAGGTTTAGCACGTGCTACGAGTTCGTACTTTTGATACAACATCCAGTGCTCGGACCTCCACAACAAGCCATTTCCACAGCGCTGCACACCAAATCCAGGATACCCTCAGAAACCGGCTAAAACTACCACTCACGTTTCACTACTGCCTAGTACTGAATCCTACTTCTTGACACGACTCAAACTTGAAAAAGTCAATAAATCCACGTCAACTACAATAATCAAGCCACATACCTGCAACGTCAGAGAGGGTGCTGGCAAAAGTTCTGCTTCGCCCGCCGCCGTGCAGCCCAATACGTGGTTCTTTAACGTGATTTTTGTACTTTTTTGGACTTGGAGCAAAATTCTGCACACTTTCGCGTGTTTACATGATACGACAAGTTGCGCACGGTCTGCTTACATTCAAATCCAGTGCTGCCAACAAATGACAGCGTGCAACAAAAATCTTTCCTTGCAAGGGCACATTTTCGGCCATAACTCTTGAACGGCTGGTCAGATCAGGACACAATTTTCAGAGCATTTGCAGCTATTCATGGTCTTTGAACTGACGTAGCACTCAATATGAATTTACAAATTCGATTTTTCAGCGAATTTTTGTGTAGTCTGCCACCTTAAGAGAAACTCTCCACCACTGTAACCAGATACTGTATACAGTCAGAAAGGGCAACAACTAGGCACAAAACTGACAGAGTACTTAGACATGGTTACAACGATGGAGAGTTACTCTTAACTCGTATACAATAATGTCTTTATCCTTTCTAATGAGTTTCTACATTTTTTATTGGCTCAACATCCGACTTCCAAATGTTATTTTGTTTTGTTTTTGTTTTTTGTTGTTGTTTATTTGACGTCGAAGATTCTAACGGGCAAGTTGCCCAATAACAAGAAAGCGAAGGCCAAGAAAATAATAATAATAAAAGAAATAACCGGGGCAGCAGAAAATGAATAATAGCTTTAAGGACTCATGTTTGCCTCGCCTCCTCGAGGAAAATTCACCTGACCAGGTTCAGTAAAAAATGTGTGTTATTGTGTTTGATCTTGTTTTAGTATTGTACGTTTGCTCGCGTCGACTGTATGGGATGAGAGAGTAGTGAGAGATAGGTACGAGCAGCCACTATAGCATCCGTTCCTGCGCATGTGGACGTAGGACGTCAGGGTGTGCACATACCAGGAAGACCATACGTTTGAAGCATGGGTCACCACAAGGTGATAAAATTCGCGCCGGCGCGACATCACGAGTCGGAATCATATTACCAGGTGATATGCATGGGGACTCTCTGAACATAATTATTCATGCAAAACGATGAGGCGCACATGAGAACAATGTCTACGGGAATGCTGATACAGGAGAGTGATCATGAATATCTGCAATACTGTTTCCAAGAGATACACCAAAGGCCTGGGCCTATCGAGTATTTTTACACCTTGAAAATGAATTAAAATGCAAACATCGTAGCAGAAAATGCATAAAGCTAACCGTGAAGACTTACGCGATGGCATACGCTGAGAGTCAAGCAAGAGATGAGAAAAACGTATTCTGCAGGACAAAGTAGGTATGTTAATGATCAGCTGTGCATGCACTGCCAAACGTTACTCCAAACCAGTCTGTGTACAATGCGATACCAATGGTAGATACATGATTGTACATGTATGCCAATCCTGGCTTGGGCAGCTATGGCGTCCTTATGTGTAGGGAGTACGGTCTGGCTTCGAGTGGCGTGCTGCTGCTGTTCAAGCCTCGTGAAAGAATACTCACTCAAGTCAGGTCCTGAATTGGCTAGTTATTTCGTACCATTTACCCTTCGCGTCTGAAAGTGTCATTCAAGTTCCAAACTCTTTTCTCCATTGTTTTTTTACCTCGGCGCGGGCTCGAGGATGGCGGGAATGAAAAACCCCTGGCCACGTCCACTTCCGGTCGAAGAGTTTGGCGAACCGACCAGGTTTACTTCTGCTGGTGTACTTTACGACGGTGCAATCCAGTTTGTGCCAGAGCCGCTTGGAAGTGGGTCATTCGGTGACGTCTACGAGACAACAATTTGTGGCGTGGGAAAAGTAAGTTGAGACTGTCCATATCCTTCATAAACATCCCCATACGACTCTCTCTCTCTCTCTATGCCCACTCTCTTTCTATCTCCCCCCATCACTCAGTCTGTGTGTCTGTGTGTGTCCCTCTCCCTATTGCTCCCCCATCTATATCTCTCTCTCTAGCTCCGTGTCTCACTCTCCCCGCTCATTCTCTCTCACTCTCTCTCTCTCTCAAGCATTCTCTCTTGATCTCTCCTTCTCTAACTACCCATTGATCTCGACTTATCGCAGACTCTGTCTGATTGTTTCTGAATGCTTCAGAATCTCACTTAATATGGAATTATGTCTTCTTCATTTTGGGAGAGCTTAGGCGATTCACTTGTGCAGTCAAGATGGCAGCAATGACTGCTCTTTTTGGCGAAGTACAACAAAATATATCAACAAATTAATACTCAAAGGGTAAGCAGGATCCTTCCGCCTATTGAGAAAAGAAGGAATTCTCCCTCCAGTACACGCGCTCTTTGGCCGCACCCGTCACACCAGCAATATGACTCCAAGAAATTTTTAGATGCTGAAGAGCCTTCACTGATGAGACCTTAGAGAGGTCGCTATATCAAACAATGGAGGAAGTCCTGTTTATCAGTATTTCCAGCTTACTTGGGTTCATTTTCCTGGTGTGATGAGGTCGGCCAGAGAGCGAATGTGCTACAGGTGGAATATGATAACTAACTAATAGCCAGTGATATGGTTGCCTCCAGGCTTGCGTGGAAAGTAACTTACAGATCCTATTCGGTACTCTGTACATGCATTGTGAATTGAGCGCCTGGTTGAAAAGGTTCGCTACTGACTGTGCCCAGATTTTCTAACAGTGTGACTATGAAAATGTATCGCCAGCAATGCGTAAATGATAAGTCTTTCAAGGTCAAACAGGGGTTTCGGAGAAAAGAGGTTTAAGAGTGCGATCACTAGAACAATCGATGCCGACTTAACACCATGGAACATCCATAAAAATGAATAATTAGATTTGCGCTATGACGCAGTAAATTACGCTTTGCACTGCTGTCATTCGCATCTTTTAGATTTGCGCCATGATGCACTCATTCACACATTGCTTGAATAATCATAATATGAACAGATCCCATATTGACCGCATAAGCAAATCATACAGGGGTCATGCACCTGTCAATGATCGTTAACCAGAGTTGCTTGTTGATGACGTACTGAGGCATTCCTGAATTGGCACATTCAAAGGCTTGACGTCTTCTCTAGTGTTGTCGATCCATCTCTTGTGGGGTCGTCCAGGGGGGCGCTTGAAGTCCGAAGTATTGAGGGCTGAGCACAGTGCCTTGTAAGAGGCCGTGTCTGGTCCTTCAGGGGCAACGTGCCCCGGACACAAGAGGCGGCGCTCTATACATGTTTGCGAGATGGGGGCTTGGTTGGTCTTTCTTGTTGGATATGTGTGTGCGCACTTTGCTTTATGAGTATATAAACCAGTACTGATCCAGATGTACTTATTACTGATTTCTGGTGATCGCTTAGTGCGTGAAACTCAGAGTTTGAAACACTTCTTTCCGTCCTCTTATTTTTAGAAATAACAATGTATAAAAGATGGGATTTTCAAACGTGTTTTAGATGATCGTCAGTGAACCTATATTGAATGGTGATTACATGAAAATAATCAATATTACACGGAGTATGTCCTCACACAATGCTTCTATAGCATGACTGCAGGTTACACAAGTCCCCATTGTAGTTCCGTCTACTTAAATCTCTGCAGAGTCACATTAGAACTTTGTTTATTGAATCCAGACGTTTTGGGCCTGTACAAATTTCGTACCATCACTGGTGCATTTAGTCAGCCCATACTCTGAGTTGGATTAGCAGCAGACGACTAGCGGTAACGCTGCTTTGTGCAGATGCACTCAATTGCTGTCCTGTTCGCTCTTTCTTGTTCCTGGTCTGTTGTACGTTTACACTGCTTGTGCAGAGAGTTGTGGCGAAGACCATCCGATATCTGGGCTACAGAGAGTCCTACACGGATACTGTCCGAGAAGCGAGCTTGGGCTTGCAGTTGCGCCACCCAAATATCGCTGCCTGCTTAGGCGCAATGCAGACGAAGCTATACGCCGTCTTGTTCTTCGAGCACGTCCACGGCATTGAACTGTTCGAGTGCATGAAAACCATAGAGTATAATGTGGAAAAGTTTTTAAAAGGTATATCCGTTCAGCTTTTGGAGGCCCTGCACTACATACACTCCGCAAGCGTTGTCCATCTGTAAGTACTGGATATAGCGATAGTAATGTTCTTTTCTTTGACAAGAGATACAAAATAAATACCATAATGGTCTCACCAGAGGGTAGATTTTCCTTGTGAAGTTCTGTCCCATCTACAGAAGAGCGGTGTCGAGGGGCAACGCGTTAGAGTCGGCACAGGCTCTATAATCATAGTTTTCACTCCCTAAGTATAGACTCCCATACATTTTTGATATACCTAAGCTGTCATAATTATAGTCCTTAAAATGTCACTCCCTTGCTGTATTAACTGCTTACATTTGACTCCGTTTTAGATATTGAACGCATGTTTTTGTTAGTCGTGATGAATCTAATATTGACTTCGTACTTGGTCAGTATAGGAAATAAAACCTCGTTAAAGACCTCGGCTTCGCCTCAGTCTTTTACTCGGCCTTTATATCCTATATTGACCTCGTACTCAGTAAATATTAGATATGTATTGCAAGGCCACCTGACATTTGAGAAAATTTTGTAGGTGCCCTGTGCGACCAGATTTCAACGGTGTTTGATTTTTTGGAACGAAACAACAGAGCTGATGCGTTATTCAATCTGCGGACAGTACTGTTATTTCCTTGCTGGACTCATGAGCGCAGCGCAGAGAAAATGAGGCCGAAGCGTATAGCAATGAAAAATTATTTTTACAAAGCCAGATTAGAACCAGGCCACACGTACCTTGCCAGAGTGCTCAAAATGAGACGTCAGTGAGATCTGCATAACGCAAACAAAGGCACGACCCCACACGAGACAGCGCAACTACTGCAAGAGCAGGAGCGAAATACTCAATCTTCGGACAGAACTGTTTCGTTCTTTGTGCGATCATCAGCGCAGCACAAAGGAAATGCTATAATGCAGTCCCCCGCTCCTTTGATGTTTTGGATTCAAAAAGCATCAAACACTCCTACCAACAAAATGGCTACGTGTTTGGTCATGCAGCGTCATTCTAGGTATTATGATGTCTACAACCCCAAGCACCGAGTTGTCGTGATTGTTGTATGTGGTGCTAACTTAGCGCCATGGCGGTTAGTTTGCCCTACTTACCATGTACCTCTTCACTCGTCGAATGCGGTCTGGATGGCCGAAACAACTGGCTTTTACAGCACTGGGTAAACCCAAGGACATCACCACCGCTACCCACTCTACAAACGTTGGCCTACCTCAGCCTGGGTAGAGCCCAGAAGGACAGGGTTGCATAGACGTTGAAGCCGCTGCAAGTCACACCAAAGTGGAGAGGATTGATAAACCAAACGAACATTTCTTCAACTAGAAGAGTTATTCTGTCCAACGAACTACTATTGTTGTTGTTTCAGGAATTTAATCATGACCTTCATTAGTAAGAACTCAGATGACTTCCATTGGTTTTCGCGATACATAAGCAGTCAAATATTCTTGCATATTTCACTCCTTAGCGCTATATTGACTGCTTATATTTGCTTACTTATGGGTTGCACAATTGAACGGTGCCTAGTGCAGCATGGTCACTGTATGAGTAGGTGATGGCGCAACGGTTGTGCAATCATAAAACCGGGATTCATGAGGTAGTCGTTCTGGAATTTGAAATACCGACTTTTTGCCGTTATAGATCTAATATTGACTTCGTACTTCGTCAGTACGTATAGGAAATAGAAGCCTCGTAAAAGACCTTAGCTTCTCCTCGGTCTTTTACTCGGCTTTAATTCCTATATTGACCTCGTACTCAGTCAATATTAGATAAATTAAAAAGTTGTACCATAGAAAAATGTGGGCACAAGATATGCGAACGACTCCACCAAACCTTGACTTTCATGCGTAGAATGTTCCAGTACTCCTTGTCAGTTTTGTGCAAGACTGTGCTCGTCTGAAGGTTCAAAATCTGGTCTAGTTGGTCGACTCGAGCTCATAACTTGTGCCCACATTTTGCGTTGTTACAATTTTTTCTTCGGCTCACCATAATGCTAAGAGAGTGATAAAGTTACATTATTATTAGGTACTGGTATAACTGTTTTCCATATCTGTCCGCGTCTTTGTTTCATGTTCACAGAGACTTGAAGGAAGATAACGTGATGGTGACGTCTAATGGCCACGCGAAGATCATCGATTTCGGCCGTGCCGTGTGCCTACCCCCGGGCGAAAATGTCATGGTCCTAAGGAATTTGATGTTCGCACATCCACCGGAGATGAATGATGAGTCCATGGGTGGTGTAGATACCAAAGCTGACATGTTCTTTCTGGGAAGGCTGCTATTCAAGGTGTTATATGGACTGAAGCCCTTCGGAGATATCGAACATCTGGGTTGGAAGGCACAGAATTGGGCAATATACCGCGGCATCGACACAGATTCCATATATCCGGACCCTGTGTCCGAGTCGTTGAATGATTTAGCCAGCAGGCTGCTTAGCTATTATCCTAGGTACAGACCTACGGCTGCTGAAGCACTCAAACATCCTTGGTTCACTTCTGATCCGGGGTATGTGTACCCACAGCTAAGGACCTTCCGGCAGAGTCTGAACCAGAACTCCCAGATCAATGAGTCTGCTCTGAAGGCCTTAAGTGGAGAGATCGGAGTGCACTCTGAGGACTTGCGACCGGAGATTCTGGGCAAGACCTCCACATGGCAGTCTATACTGTACGCATCACGCACTCTGCCACGCCGCAACCTCGTGCTCTAGAAGATGATATCAACGTGACGTCATCTGGCCTCGCTGTAATGACCATCAGCACAAGCGTTACAGGGGTAATCTTGTCCTTAGCTTAATAGAACCATGATATAACTCACACTAGATAATGCACTTAACCATGTATGCACACCTACACATAAACTGCACTTGGCGTAAAGGAGCATCTCTCCAACAGACAATCGAGCGGATAATCATTCTTGTTACGGCTTCGGTTATACTGTGAGGATCCTATTGTATTTTCACCTGGAGTACAAGGGAGTCTCCCATCGTATTGTTGATATTAATTTTATTCTCTACTTTTCTCGCACGATTGTTATGTTGGCGCTTCTAATTCTGTCATTCCATTATACGGTTTACAACTGACGATAGTCTCAATGCAGACTCTGACAATGCTACATCTCCCTTACACCTGATGCCCAGTGATTTCTGCCCTTCTAAATGAACGAGTTATCGTTATTAACTTTCTTACTTTGCGAACTGTTAAAAAAATACACGTGGTACCAATATTCGCTTGCGTGGCTCTAGGATACGAAGACCAATAAAAGGGGAAGCTATGCGAACAAGATTCATGCAAAACCGTAAGACTCAGTAAAACAGCGCTGTACCTCGACTATGACAATAAGCAGCGATAACAAGTTGTGTGGAACGTTGCTTTGCGTCCATCGTGGTGTGACCGTAATGTCCAGTGGTCTTGCCCGTATCGTCATCGACATGCATGAACATCCACCAACGTCCTTCACAGCTGAGAATTTCATCTCGGACATTTGAAAGTGCGTTTCGTTATCACCTTTAGATATTGCTCGACCTCCAAATCATTTGGGCACCGGTATGCCACTTCACTACAGTGCATGTAGAAAGTTCAAAATTGCGCCATTTTTACCCTATAAAATATATTTACATTTCTATATCTGCTATTCATTTGTTATTTACCTCCACTGAGGAGCTCTTAATGAGCGAAATAGCTGTCTTTAGGATATGGAATATCTACCCATAACCAACCTTTTCGCTATGGAGTGGTGCTGTGTATGTGGGCCAAGAGCGCAGTATGGAGAGGTCGACAGTTCAGATTCGAGTTTGTTTGGATTGGACTACCGGTACATGTAATTCATTTTCATTTTGATTTTATCGCCGAGTTTCATCTCTTGTAACTGTGTCTTTAGTGGTCTTGCTTTTTTCCATGAAAACTGTAAGACCAGGATATTCTAACGTCTCTAAGTTTTAACGATCTCTGAATTTGTGGGTTAGCCAGGTGAAATTCTAATGAATTCTGTCTCAAAACAGGAAAATTACTGTACTACTTGGACATATTATTATTATTATTATTGTGAAAAAGGAAGACAAAATGTTACGAGTTGTTTAACTGTCCACCAGCGTGGGGGGGGGGGGGCGGGGGTCATCGGCCAGGACCTTTTGGCATTCTCTGTTGCCGTGAAACTTAGCTCATGCTCGTCTTCGTTGCGCTTTCCTTCCCCTGTTGGAGAAGTGTTGGAGCTAGGTGTCAGGTCGCTGAATGTCTCAGTACTCCTTGTCAGTTTTGTGCCATTTTGTCGCACTCGCTGACTATAAAGGCTGCCGCCTCGCCGGGTCAGCCCGCTTGCCAAACACACCACAGGTTTTGTGTGGATTTGTGTACAACCCCGAGATCCCGTTGCAGGCCGGGTGGCCAGCCTGTCGGCCAGCCCGGGCTGTAGCTGCACATAATCACCCCCGTTTCAGTACTGAGGATCAGTCATCACCACCACACAAAGGTCATTGACGCTGCAAATTCTATTCAAAAGAAAAGAAATCTCCAAATGTTCGCCCTTGGGGCTTCATCAGGGAGTAAAAATTAATAATTATTTCATTTCTTTTGAATAGATATTGGTGAATCGGTTGCAGTGGACCCTCCGTGTTCTAAAACAACGTTTCAGTACTCCCCCGTAGATACCATTGATCCCGTACACATCGGTACGAATACTCCCAGTGTCAAGTGTCAGTCAAGTGCAATGCAGGGTATCCCGTACTACGAGCTCTGTGGAATGCGTACACATGTGTCGTAGCTGACCGGTGTAACGTACGGACATGTACATGGGTAGCAGTATAACGCAGCCTCAATGCATGATGACACATGCTTGTTCGTTTGTTCTAGAATTCTCACGCTCTACATTCTCCTTGACTCTTCTCTTCCATGACTGAATCCTCTTTCCCTTGAAAACACCTTCTGTAGCTTCATACCGTCGTTGCCCGAAATCATGGCAGTGATAATCCAACTGGACCCGAACATATTCGGCACGATTGTACACTACGATGACGAAACCACTGGCAAGGTGGATGGCGTAATACAGATTGGTGGAAGGGTCCTGGGAAAGGGTGCATTCGGAGATGTCCTTCCCGCTAGGTTTCCTGGTGAGGATAAGGTATGTATGCCTCGTAACATATCTAAAATGGTCCGATTACTGGAGCGGACGAAGCACTCTTGTACTGTTGAACTGATTAAGATGCACAAGGCTAACCGCAGAAAATGCAGAATTGTTTTATTGCATTTCGCCTGCTCTATGTTGAGGATATAGGTAAGACGCGATTTCGCCCAGTTTGGGTCGTCTCGCCCAGTTCGAGAGCAGCGGGGTAGACAGTATTTGTGCGTATGGCGGCTGGTTAGTGTTATCAATTTTACTTTCACTTGCTGCCGCTTGCCTCTGTACATCCAGATCGTCGCCAAGTTTATCAAGAAAACTGAAAGCCAGCAAGTAGACATATGTACGGAGGCCGCAATCTCGCTAAAGCTTCGCCATCCTTGCATAGTGCCGTGCTTCGGGGCCCTCCAGACGGAAAAGTCAGCGATTCTCTTTTTCAAGCGGATCCATGGAAGAACACTCGCTCACTGGGCCGAGAACATAAGGGCGTTGGTGAACCGCAACCCAAGCGAGGATGAAGTCCGCCCGATCATGTTCCAGCTACTGCACGGCCTGCACTATCTGCAAACAGCTAAGATTGCTCACTTGTAAGTACATGTACATCTAATTTCCTCCAATTATGTTTTGCGCAAACAGTCACTCATCGCAATGCACTCCTTTCTTCACTTTACAGAAAAAGAAAAAGCACCAAGGAACTACAATTTCCGCTATACTGTAAAACCGGAAAGTTTAACTAGCGGGTCACAAAGTAACGTGTTAACGACCAATTCATTTTCCGTTATTTGAAAAAACGTTATCGCTAGATGTCGGTGTAAAGATGCGCATGCAGATGAGTAAACTTTCTGCCCGTAATCATGCCAAAATTACAAAAACGTTTAACTTTTTGGTCGTTAGACTTTCCGGTTTTACAGTAACGCCCACTAGCACACTAGCACACACGCCCACTAGCACAACCAGTTGCTAAACAATCAGCTCATGCGATAACATTGCACGACACTGACCAACGGCGCTGACGTTCTGCAAGTCATTGTCTAGCAGCTTTCCGAGTCCTTTGGTCACTTTACTCAATCTTCCTGTACAAGACGTCAAGTTTAGAAAGCAGTGCAATTTGAGGTGTGGATGTTAGCCCCCCAGCCTATGTGGTTATTACTAAAGTTGCAAGATGCATTGAACATCATTCTTGATTGATTTTTGCTAGGGCACATTATGGTCGTGTCCATGCTCTGTTCTACGTTTCTGGCCTTGCTTGGTACCTTTAAAGTTAGTATTGGCTCAGGTACAGTACATGTATCTCTGAACTTATGTATAGATGCTTTCTCGATACATACGTATGTACACTGTATATCATGTGTACATTCACATGTCTGAAGGTTTGTGGTTTTTCAATAAAAAAAATAAATAAAAAATAAAATAGAGCTACATACAAACAGCAAGGGGACGGAAAACGTGTATTGAGCACTCTCTTGGACAGTCTGGAACCTCTCTGTTACATACATTGTATATCAACATAATGGGAATACTATGATGTTTATGCTGGTCATATGTTTTATTGTTTGATTGGCATAATTATTTGGAACAAAAAAATGTTGATTCGTGTGACCTCTTGTTCCTGTGTCGTTACTTATCAACTACAGCGACCTGCACGCCCACAACGTCATGGTTGATGACTCTGGCACGGCGATCATCCTGGACTTCGGCATGGCGCATGACTACCACTCCATTAAGAGGGGAGTGTTCATGCCAGCATCCTACTCCTATCCTCCGGAATGCGTCATTCGCGATATGGGTGTGGATCACAAGTGTGACGTCTTTCTCTGGTGAGCAAAACGCATAATAGTAGTGATATGAACAGGTCCGATATTATTGTAGGGAGCGACACACAATTCTCCAGGTGGAATATTGCCCGAATAAACAAATGAGCCTGGATCAGCAAAAACCATCACATGTGCAAAATTTTCGAAAAATATTTTTGTGCTCCAAATTGATCCACAACCACTGATAACCAGTCTCAAGAAATTTTAGATCAATCACAGCACCGTAAATGACCAAAAAATGCGGTACACCACATCTCTGTACAAATGTTGGAAATGGCATTTCTGTGTAGGATGCAAGTTGGAGCGTTGGTATGTGTCTGATCCTGTTAGGCATTGCCATCACTCAGCCGGCTAACAAGGAGGAATTTTATAGTCCTTGGGGGTGTACTCAGACACTGGCTCGTCCAAGTAAATCATTGGCTTCACTGACTATCGCGCAGCTAACGGCATATGGCCAAGTTCCAGGGGCTGATATTGCATCCACACCAGGCTCTGTACTGATGGAGTGATGCTCTCCAAGCCCTTCACTTCCATGAAAACATATCTGCACACACGGAGTGCAATCACAGCAGCTGTGACTACTTAGCACACAGGCTCATGAGCATGAGGTACGTACTAGGTGCAGATACATTCAACGGTTACCTGACCCTACAGGAACATATTTTTTTGAATTATTTTGGGAGCTGCTGCATGGACCAAATAAATGTTTCAAGTAACGTTGCTCAGTGTCCAAGCCAACGAAGCAGATCTTGTCTGGCGCTAGCTCTCGTTGCTCTTCCAGTCGTGAATCGAAACGCCTTTGCTCTGCATCGTCACTGTCGATATCCGACAAACTTACTAGTGAAGGAGTCGTTCATCGCTCAACAATATCCACTCGAGTCGTCGTCATTCTCATCAGCGCTGCTTTCTTCTACACGAAGTCTGCAGCCTCGCCGAGTCGCTTTGCGGCAGGAGAGAGTCGTCCTCTGGAGCTCCGCGGCTTTCACCTGACTCCCTTGATGAGCAATCGCCATCCCAGTCATCACCAAAAAATGTCGTGTCGTGATTGGCGTCAACGACGATCGATGCGCGTGCGATGCTCGCGCCCCGTGATCGTACCTATTCGCCAGCCAAGCTCAGGTACGTGGGGTTTCCCAGCCGTGTCTCCTCACTTGCCTGGGGCTTGCCTAGCTAGCTAGTCACTGACAAACAAACAAACACGGGCTTGTCAGGCGGAAAGAAAGACTAGTGACAAGAAAGACAGAAAGGTGGTGGGTAGTTGTTAGGTCCGCGACTTTTCTTTCGCTCGACTTCAACGTCACTTTTTGATCAACTTGATATCAAACACAAGCGATGGTTTTCGCTGATCCGGGCTCAAATCATACGGGATACATGCATCTGTCAATGATCTTTAACTAGAGTTGCTTGATGGTGGCCAGATTGCGTAAATGTTTTTACAATTGTGTCGTATCGAGCATTTGGTTGTTGGTGTTGAAATTTATTCAGGCCTCGTTTTCATTCCGTGTTTGAAACGCTTTCGCTGTGTGCACGAAAACGATAAGCGTTTTAGGTGTTTACACTGCAATCCGTTTTTTGCTGCTTTTCGCGCGCAATAGTCAAGTGCAATAAGTTGGCATGGCGACGACATGTTTCGAGCTGGAAATACGGAACTCACTCGTGCCTTTTCCTATTTCCCGCCACACTATTCTGGCATTTCCATTATAGCTCAACGTTTTTGCCGTGTACAGGAGTACGTAACGGAACGAAAACTATTGAAAAACAATGAAACGTTTTTCAGCGTTGCCGTGTGCACGCTCTTATCAAAATCTAATGAAGCGAGGCTTTATAATTTTATTTAAAGTCGGAACACTAACAGGCGATGGCGCCAGCTTTTGTACAAGTGAGCGACATGTCAAAGTCGACAATAATAGTAATGGGGCGGGGAGGTGAACAAATCACAAGAAAGAAGTCACCGAAGGTAACTGAATATGTTACAAATAGAGCTGCGGGAAAAGAACCATGTTGAATAACCTAAAACACGGAGTTTAACTGACCGATTTGAAGTCGAGAAGTTCATTTCCTAACATCCTTGCAAAACTCGATGTACTAATAGAATAGGATTGAACCAGATAAAATCTTACAAAACATTAGAAAGGGTTGACCATCGGTGAACAGATAAAAATCGACCCACGTTGAATACTTCGCTTTCGAGATCGAGAGAGCACAGAAATGGGCGTACCAGGGTTTACAGCGCATCATGGCCGATGTATTGTCCCAGAGAATGGCACCAATGAATTGGTCATGGCAACATCATGCCCTGTCGGTCGTTGTTCACTGAAGGCATGTCTGCGTACCTAATATCTACTCACCTGTGCTTTTTGTTTCAATAGTGCCGGCATGATGTATCTGGTACTCTTCCGGAGAGGTCCATTTGGTTTCGTGAACCTAAAAGGAGTCGCACCAGCCAAGCATCTAGACAATGTGCTTGCGGGCATGTGCCAGGATCCGTGGAATGGACCGCACAAGTCTTCTTCAGCACTTCAGACCCTGATGTCCAAATGCCTCGCCTACAGTCCGGAGGATCGCCCCGACGCCGCTGAAGCTCTTTGCTACGAGTGGTTCAAGGCAACACCGGGATATTCCAAGCTGCATCTGACGGATTACGTGCCCAGTACTCCACCAACTGACTTCAGAGAGCTTGACAAAGAAATTTTGGAGACGATATGCAAGCAGTGGGAGAGCGATACGTATACCATGGCCAGTGCCATCATCACGTAAGTATACCATACACACACAGTTCAAATATGGGCTTTCTTTAGCGTACATCATCCACAAGGAGTGATCATTATTCTCGTCGATGTTTGAAGAGAATATTGTTGAACGGTCACTGCTTGGATGACAACTACACCATAGCTCAGCGGTAGAGCTTCCCTGGCCGTATGCGAGGGCTCCTGGTTCGAGCCCTGGTGGTAACAGTCAATTGTTTGTCTGTCTTTTCCCGTTTACAACTTTCCCTCCAACTTGGATATTCTGTCTGGTGTTATTGCGCATTCTCCATTTGAGCACGGGCAGGCCGAGGAAATGCAAAGGTACGGGGGACACTGACAACACTTCCATGTTCTTTCTCCTCTTACAGGAACAGCAACGGACCAGCTGCAATTGCTTACCGGAACGCACAATATATCTCCAACAAGTTCTTCAGCTCATAATCCAATTGCTTTCGTTCGTCACAGAAGCGTCTTCGCCAATATTAAACTGAATAAATAACTGAAAACACACACCCTGGCTGGAGTACACGTAACTCAAGGTATCCCGTGCGGCCTCATCTTCTCTGTGATTCACTGATGGGTCCACAAAGGTCGAAACATTGCTGTCCGCAGATTAAGAATTTCGCTTCTGCTCTTCCAGCAGTTGAGCACTCTGATGTTTTTATATATTTTTTTACTAAAAGAACCATGTACCATATATACGCCAGTCACAGGAGAAGCACGCACCCGTACATCTGCAAATGCACTTGAAGGGCGCACCCACAGAATTTCTCATTTAATATAGCAAAGATAGCGGATCTGATTCTGATTGCAACAGATCTAGACAAGCGCCAGAGTCTAAAGGCCGATTAATACTTCATTTCGCGTTCGGGAAAGACGTCGCGCGATGGCTTTCCCGTACGCGAAATAGTTGAGCTCTGATCGCCATTTTCGCGACGCAACGCGTTTCCCGTGTGCGAAATGAAGTTTTTTTTACTATGTTCACATAAATAGCTCGAAAAGAATAAGGAAAGACAATGGTACAGAGACTAGGACAAACGTGACAACTAATGAGCAGGCGCTGCACCGAGACGCAGTAGTGATGGTGGGGCATTGATGACTCTGCCGACCTGAGGTCTCGGCGTCACGGCCAAAAACACGCACCAAAAACAATGAAAAAAAGAAGAAGATAGATCTGTACAGGTAAGAAAGATGCAAAAACCCAAGGCTTAACACGAACGATTGTGGGAGGAGGGAACTGTCTTAGCATCATACTATTCATAGGGAATCGACTGCCCAGAGCCAGTTTGTGCTGTGAAGATGGCGGTACACATTCGTTTTGAATGATTGCATTCTCTTGCTGTGTGGAGGCTGGGATAGGAGAGCGGCAGGGAGGGAATTCCAATCGCTGATGCTGCAGTGTGGGAATGAGCGCTTCAGTGCCAGCGGGGCAGATGCAGGCAGCTGGTGTTGGAGCTGGTGGTCATGACCACTGACAGCACGGTGCTCCCTGCGAGTTCTGGGGTTAGTAGAGGTGATGTGGCGCGGTGGCAACACAGAGAGCAGCTGCGGAGGACCAGGCAAGTAGTGCAGCTTTACTTGTACAGGTAGGCAAGCAAGGCAACAGTGCGGCGGATGGACAGGCTGGGTAGGTGTGCCCCAGGGCCGATAGCATGAAGCGCGCGGCGCTGAGCATTGTTCTAACGCTGGAGGTGACCCTGCGCAGCTCCCATCCATACAAGAGGCGCATACTCCATGACTGGTCGTACGAACGCCTTATATACGGCCGCCCGGGCTGCGGGGGTGCGTTCAAGTATGAATCGGCCTTTGGACTAAGAATTTGCGACGCCATGTGACCCGCAATGCCCACCTGGTCTGCAGCACACGGAGTACATCGGATTAGGAGGGCCAAGACAGTTCACTATGCACACCCTACACTTGCTGGAGTAACCAGTATAGACTAGACAGCACGCTGCCTTGATAGAAGCAGACACTATAGATGCACTGGTACCTAGAAAATGTCAAGCTACCAGTGCATTTCCTTGCCAAAGAAATTGGAGTTAGTCCAATTTCCAAATTCTTTGGCAAGCGGGTAGCCTTCCGACAGGTTCAACCGTTGGCCAACTGAGAACACATCCTACCAATGGATATTTGGAGACAAACACAAAGCAAGACATACGGGATGCATGCACAAAGTACTGATGTACAGGGAGCAACTAGACCCAACAGAGGTCTCGGCGTTACCAGTGGGGTGGTGCATTTGCTGTTTGCGCTATGCTGAGCTCACGGACTTGTCCGTTTGACCACTCTGGCAAGGTACATTCCGTTCAGGTTCAAATCTGGCTTTCGAAAATTTACTTTTGATTTAATTCCTATCAGATTCGGCCTCATTTTCTCTGTGCTGCGATGATGAGTCCACGAAGGACGAACAGTTCGATCTCCAGATTGTTGTTGTTGTATTTTATTATTAATTTTTACTTGGGCATTCCCAACAGACCCTAAGGTCTTCTTACAGGGTGCCCAAGATGAATGAAATTGTTAAGTTCCTGGCAAAATAATTGGTGATATGATTTGTGCGAAGTGATTCGGGAAGCGCATTAACCCTAGAACAGCCAATGGTGTCATTTGACACCGCGCGAGTCAAACTTTTGGAATTACCAAAATCTGGTTAAGGAGGCTCCTACCTAAAGAAGTAAAATACAAGGTCCATGGACACCCTGTTTTTTATGCATAGAATGGTGGAGTGATGTCTCCTCTTCAGTTTGGTATAGTTTTTAGGTAGGGTCACCAGGCATATAAGAGGTATTCTGGTGTATTTAGTGAGTGTACAATTTTTTGATTTTCGGCAAAAAAATGGTAAAAAATTTGGTTTTTGACCCAAAGAAGCCTCCTGGAAGGAGGGTGCTAAGTATTTTCTTCATCATGTGTTTAAGAACCAGATTTGGAGGTATCTTGGCTACACAAAATAGACTGTGTCTCGGTTTTGCCCTTGGTGAGTCACTTTCTCGAAATTACGGGTACCGAAATTTCCATCGGGAGCTGAATTGTGAAATGATTCAACCTGCAACATTTTGTCCATGGACATATTGATTTTTTTGGCTTTCTGTGGTCCTTGAGTCCCAAGGAAACCGATAATAGACAGTTTTGATGGTGTCACCAGGCACTTTAGGCCCCTACGGAACAATATAGGTGTCAACATAATTATGGTATTTCAAGGCCAATTCCGAAATAGCATTTTTAGAAAATCTGACCATTCTTGCCTTCTTGACTAAATAACACTACCAATGACATGTTGATATGGTAATATATTTTAGAAGAAATTATTTTCATGCTCCAACCTCCTTTGGACATACCAGATAGTCTGAGCTTGGAAAGGTACAAAGGTACATGTATAATTACATGTACATGTATGTCATGTAGCCTTCAGCCCTAGCACATTATTATACGAGTAGTGTACATGTACATGTAAGGCAGCGAGGTTTCATAACATCCTCAACCATGAAACTGGCACATGGATAATGTGAAAGCAGGCATTCAAAATCAGGCACACTAAACACTCACACGCGTGCGCACGCACATAAACACCCACCCACATGCACGCACTCTTGTGCACGCATCATTGTAACACCACTAGTCCATAGTAGGACTTAGTGTAAATAAAAGCATGAAGACCAGCCACTGCACTGGGCATGCATTTGCTGGTTGTCACTTGTGTTTATAGCAGCAGACTCCAGAAAAACATACGCATGAAGGGCAATATGCATCTACACACGCTGGCGTGCACACATACGATATAGTGTACTGTCATGACCTCTCGGCAATTCATTTTTGTGTCTCGAATGCGGTTCACAAATGTGCATTCACATGCACCTCCTGAACTGTAAAGCCACTGCCACACTGTCCTTTCGGACACCAGAGAGGAGAGCCATACAGAACCAGCACCGTCAGCCCCCCCCCCCCCCCATACACACCTAGCTTTGCACACACGCACGTGCATACACACATGCATGTACACAGACATTTGCATGCACATGCACCCAGTGCACTCGTGGGAACATGTGCATAACCCAGATCAACATAGCGTACGAACCCACACATGCGGGCACGAGCACGCGCGCACACACATGCACACACACACACGCGTGCACACACACACGTGCGCACACACACACTCATACACCTGCTCAACGCTGAAGCGAGGATAGCGAACAAACTACCTTAGACATAGCAACTTGTGCTCGGATTACACTTGCACACACACGCATGCGTGCACGCGTATACACACACGCGCGCGCGCGAGCGTACACAAACACACACGCGCGCGCGCGTGCGTGCGCGTACACACACACACACACAAACGCATGTACTTGCGCATAGGAAAGGATTCAAAATATGCAGCCATAGACAATTACCCAATGCACACCTGAGTGTGCACATCTTAGTTGTGACATCCCCATTTTTACAAGAGCAGGATTTAGAAGTTCGTCCCTGGTTCAGAACACAAGCTTCTGGGGAGCGTTTTCCTTACACCATCAGTACAATACAGTGGTTGACACGAATCTCATTTCTACAGGGACAGTAGCCCATGTTCAGCAGCTCTGAGATGCGACGTCCATTGAGCTCAGAATACTCAAGGATCCACAGAAAGTTTCAAACGGCACTCGTGCGACTGGAGCTGCAAGTGGGTCCACTTACCAGCGAGTGGGCAGCCACTTCACGCTCCACAGGTAGTCCATACTAAATACCAGTACTAGTATCACTACATTCGACATCGATGTCTTCACTGACTTCAGCCTGCTTTTCTCATCATTCTTCGTCAGTAATTATTATTTGTTCTTCGTGGCCACCGCGTACCGCTTCAGCAAAGTTAGTTTTCAGAAAAAATCAAGCAGCGTAGGAACTGCCTTTGTTTTGCATTAGCCATGGTCAGTGATTCTTTCCAGCGAAGAAACAGCCACGGCCACAGAAACACTGCAACGAGTAGAACAAGTACATCCTGGAACAACTGCGAGCACAGAGAATCAAAAAAACTTCTTTCTGAACAACAGCTTGTTTCCGCATGGAACACGATATTTTTTGAATCTCGCGGCAAAAAACAGATTCTCGAGGTGCCCTTTTTACAATGCGCTGCGCAGCTGTTCGGAGCCTCCTTAATCATAATAAGCTAAAATCTTGTGACTATTTCTAATTTTGCTTCGTCTGCCATAAACCTTTCTAATTGATGAGGTACCATAATGGCGAGTACGTACACCAAGAACGGCCAACCAGTGTCATTTGACACCTGCACTAAAATAAGCCATTATTGCAGCTAGATGGAAACAATATAAACACATTTCGAAGGTGGCGGCCATATTGAGTTGCTCGTATTGCAACCAGACAAAAGAAAGGTGCATGGACAGGAAAATCGCTGAATACAGGACGGAATATATGATCAACATACAACCGTCGGGCGAGAATCGCGAATTTGGCGCGGGTAAACATTAGTGCACAGATTACACAAACACTCTTCAACTAAGTACCTTGATACTGCTC